CCCTAAATGAGAATTCCTTCAGCTATTGTTTCCTTGTACGATTACAGAAAAAAATGAAAAATTGTGTAAAAAAAAAAAAAAAACTCCAACAGAAAACAACAAACCTGCAAACATTTTCAATGGCAGTGTCTCTCAAATTTTCCATGGCTGCTGCAACCTTATTCCTGCTCTTAGATTTTCCCACCTGAGGTTTGATAGGTTTGCTCTCATCTGTCACTGTGATGCTCAAGTCCCCAACTTTCTTCACACCGTCATCAGTGAGACGTCGGTTAAGTTTGGCAATGATGGGAGAAGGGTTCACCATAAAGTCACGCAGGGAAATGATGGTAGTGTTGGCAAGAGTGGGAAACTTCTCAGCCATTCTTCCCAAGGCCTAAAAAGTCCAGGGAAGGATGTAGACTAGTGTAATAAGGTTAATTTCATACCATCTAATTCATTCTCATCACTGATTTTAAAAATGAAGACATTACTACTTGCTTCTGTTTCTTTGCTAGTTATTTATCATTTTTTTTTTCTTTTTTTTTTCTTTCTTGTAAAATTGATGGTATTAGAATGGCTTAGTATCACTTTGTGTTCTAGAGAGTATGTATAATGTTGGCTTCTTTCTAGTTAGGTATCATTTTCTTTAATGTGAACTATATACATAATCAAAAATACATAAAAGATGTATGAAAAGACTTTCTTACCTGAAGACAGACCACCAACAGAGGGTAGTGAGCCATGAGCACTTTGAACTCAATAGGTGTGCTAAGTCTCTCTGTCAGACGACTGTACAGCAGTGTCTCTGCCTCTGAAACAAATTGTTACGATAAAAGTTAAATTTCATTTGCAACACCAACCCACCTACAATGTAAGTTGTATTATATTGGGCAAGTCATCCATGTTCAGATTTTAAATTTAAAGATTCATTTGGGGATTTACCTGAACATTTGGTGCTGAACAATCTCTTTAGCTACATGTTCATTTATCAACCGACAAAACAACCAGTGCTTTTGATTGTTTTTATATGAGGCAAGATGAATATGTCACCAACCTGTTTCATCTTGGACTGCCCAGAACAGGAGCTCTATACAGGCAGAGTTACTGGCCACAGTCAAGCTGAAAGGATTGACCTCCCCCCTCTTCTCAGCCTTCTCTCCATGATCGTGCTGGCGGCTTAGTAAATCCTTCTGGCCTGATTTATAAACAACTTTCACAAACTCCTGGACTTCTTTGGTAAAAGCAGCTGCTAGATCTATAAAACACATAAAAGATGTCTGTGATAGACGGTTTCCTGTTTAGTTGCATTTACTCTCATTAATTCAATATACATTATTCAAATTATACATAATACTAGAAGAAAAGAAAGAAAAATCAACCCAAGCAGAGTAGAATGCTGCCATAGAACTATACAATGCTAAATGTAACTTACCTTTGTTATGCTTCAATATGTCTCTCAGCATTGCCACTAGCACCAGGCTGATGGTCTCACTAAAGCTTTTGTATGGGAACCTTTGGTGCTGGGAACCCTATTCAATGGGAAAAATATGCAGTTGATAATATAATGACACAAGAGCCCTGGTAAATAATTGACAGCATGATCTTGCACCCTTTGCTATTACAACTGCTAACTTTGATATAAAACTGATTTGAAAATTCAATTGAAGACCACCATAATAGCAAATTAAAACCATGGGGCACTTTCTCACTAAGGTAACAGTCATGTGTGACAGAAAAGTCTAAATAATGTACTTACTGCAAACAAGCTTGATGCAGCCACATCTATGCTTTGTAACTTTTCCTTGCTCAAAAGTTTTCTAGCCTAATAAAAAAAAATGAAAATGGCGAGGTTACAAATAGTAAAGTGACATAATCATGTCCCAAAATTTACATCTTTTGTATAGCTGGGTTAGTATACATTATTATGACATCTAAATGCCATGGTAACATTTGAACTGCAAATTCACATTATGAACATTTGGCTATCCCATTTATTTAGGACTAGGATAAAAAAAACTGACCAAGGGATAAAAGATATCTTTGCTGATACAAACCATTACTTAATTTTACAATTCTTTGTCACCTACCCATGTCAGCAGCAGCTGTACATCACTGCTAGAGAAGGATATCAGTCTCTGACCAGGTGTTGGTCCCTTGTTTCTTTTCCTAGTGAAACATGAACCTGGGGTGTTAAAATAAAATGTTGCAGGGTCCACTAGCTCCTCATGCCAGGTCTCTGGCTGTGCCACAAAGTCTGTCACTGGGGATGGAGATTTTGATCTCCTCCTGCTAACAGCGCCATCTACATCAATTCTGGGACTTTTGGGTCTGTCGGGGGATTTGAGCAAATTTTGAGATAAGTTCCTTGGAATAATTGGGCGAAAATCTGTAAAGCTTCTGCGCTGTGATAAATCTACTTCATCAACGTCCACTTGAGTAGGAAGTGCTGATTCTGGGGGGAAAAGCTGACACAGGAGAGGGGTATCTTGACTGCTAGTTCTCCCCAGAGCCCTCACCAGTCCAAGGAATACTGGGATAACTGATTTACAGAGCACCACTGAAATATAGAGTAGGAAAGTAAATTCTGTTAACGCATAGCCATAAAATTTAATAACATCCATTTGGTTAAAAATTTCATAAAATATTCCTGAAACTTTTTATACTTCAAGAATATGAATGTTTCAATAAAAGCAAAGTACACAGAGAGAAGAAATGCACCTCCTAAAAACTATTTACAGTGGAATATATCATGTGTTATGGTTGTAAATTGTTTTTCGCAAATTGGAGCAACATGATTATGTTATGCAGCACATTTCAGTACTTACCTGGATCCTCAGCTGCATATCAAAATATATCACAAAATATCCATAATTCACTAAAAATTTTATTAAATACATAAAATGAATTCAACTGACTGAAAGTTTAACTAATCTGCTAATGTTTAAATATGTTTAAAAAGAAATATAAAAACTAACTAAAACTAGTAAAAAAAAATACCTGAAAATTGATGACATCAACATCTATGACCTCTTATTTTCTGAGAAAGGCCACTTCATAGCCTTTGAAACATTATTCAAAAATAAAATAAAACAAAATTGAAGCAGTCATAGATAAATCAATACATTGTAGTAAAATTATTAGGATTATCTAAAAAGTATACCTCAAAAGACATTTTTGATAAGAAAGGAATATTTTCTCATTTCCTAAGAAAGATATCCGATCTCACCTTTTGGAATATCTTGGGATCCCTGAATCATTTTACAAAGTACTTGAAATACTTCAAGTTGTGAGGACACAATCTGAATTAAGAAATAAAAGTAAGTTCTTGTGCACATTTATAATTATTACCTTTTTTTTACTTCATAATAACTAAAGGGTAGTAAAACTGATTTCTTTTAACTAATCCGACTGTTCTAAGTATTTTACTATCACAGTAAACAATATAATTTTAATGTCCATAAAATAACCTGTTTTGTGTTTTCAATACTAAGACTTTATATTGTATACCTGTTCTTGTAAAGCTTCATCCCTTTGAGCCACATCACTCAGCAGTGTATTCAGACAGAAACTGAAGCACTCACTAAGTGGAAGTCCTGATATTGAAAAAAAAAAAAAAAACAGAAAAAAAACAGTAGAATACAGTTCAACTTGTGATAAGCACATAATCAGGTAAAATTTAAGTTTTAGGTGAAATAATATCAATGCAATTCAAAAGAATTTTAAAACTAGAATTCACTCTAAGCTGAAAACACCCACTTGTGCAATTAACCCTTCTGTGTTTTTGTAACAGTGACCACCACACATAGCATAGCACTTACTGTACTCTGGACTTCTGTGTGCACTATCTATCCATTGTGCATTTACCAACCCCTTCAATGTGTTAAGTAAATATGGGAGCAGCTTGTCAGCATACTGAAATAAAAAAAAAACATAAATTCAATAATAAATCAAAATCATCTTAACTATAAAACTGATCCCAGGGCATGCAATAGCCTTATCCTTTTGCTCTCTTGCAACAGTTTTGAACAAGAATAACTTACCAATCAGTTTACAGAAATTCAATTCAGCTTGAAGAACAGTTGCACTGACATTAATTCCTGCGCCCATACTCTACCTGCAAGCCAGATTCCAAGAAATAAATTCCTAATGCAGTGATTGCATTGTGCGATCTTTGATCAAGATGTAAAACACCATGGCTGGTTGGCACTGGGCACAAAGATAGCAAGCGGCTAACCTAAAATGAACCAATAAGTGTATAAATAGTCTTTTGCAAACATTCTGTATATGCTTGTATAGGTGCATATATCTGTTCATACCTTAAGCGAATAAAATATTTTATTAGTCCAAGTTCATACATACATACATGCCTGCATACATACATATGATACAATGTATAAAATGCACACAGCACATATCTACGTGATAAAGCTGTTATTTTGATTCTTAGTTCAGCCTTCCACGTATAAGCACGATCGCAGATATACAAGCAGTTTCAGTATAAAGCAGAGTGCACTGCTAAGTATAATTACTCCTAAACTTGGTACAGGATTCAGCATATAAGATGGCACTGAAAATGAACATAACCTTCAAACTTTCAACGAACCTGACCGGTGAAGTGTCAACAGTTAATTGGGCGGATGCTCCGAGTGTTGTGATACGTCATGTTTGATTCCTTGTTAAAAATATATACTAAAATGTTTCCCAAAAGAGGACAGATATATTTTTATTACATACCTTCTCCCAAGGTGTTGGGTTCAGAGCCGCTAGTGATCTTGAGAGATGTTTGAGAGTGTCAAAATGAAACTTCTCTCTACTTGTGGCCATATTTGTTTCCATACCCAGTCCGTATCGGTGATTGGTATTTTTTTATCAAGAACAAGTAAAAAAATTATTATTTCTTTCAAAAGAAGCTATAAGGAAAATTTCAAAATTAACAATATGTAGCTAATAGACTGTTATTGATTATTTTATCAATATGTCAACCCCTCTTGCATTTACTGCGGATTCAATAAAAGCCGGCTACTTCCTGTTCAACAGGAGCGTGGAAACTTGAAACGAACACAACCCCTTTGAAAATGTCTGCAAGTTCGCCAAAAGAGAAAGAAAAGAAGAAGAAAAGGACAATACGACCAGAAATAAGTGCCCCAAAGATCCAGGTAGCTAAAAAGCCGAAGAACGAGCTATCGGTAATTAAAACTTTAATTTAGATAAGATATTGTTGTTAATTTCATGTAAGTTAATTGTACCAGTAAGTTTATAACTTTGTAAGTTGGAACCGAAGTTATATATAACATTTAAAATATTTAACTAAAAGCTATTTAGCATGAACTTGTGAAGCCCAGTTATTAGTCTCTGTACTGACTTTGTGGCAAAGGATCGGAGTCAAAAGAGCTTTATCTTACCTGTGTGTATGAATGTGACCAAATGTAATTTGAAGTGAAGATAAAAAAAGTCGCGCCAATTTCTTAAATTGTATCAACAATATTAATTACCTAGTAAAATATTTCACTTTTATATCACCCTATTTTTTTTTTTTTTTTTTTTTTTTTTTTTTTTTTTTTTTTTTTTTTTTTGTGAATGACTTTCCTGTGTTTACTTGTGACTGGACTTGTGAATTGCGCTGTATTGCTGTGTATTGTACGTTTTAGTGTGAGATCACTCATGGGTTAACAAACATTAAGTGTTCATGCTGAAACATAAGTATATTCACCAATTGTTACTCTGAAACTTCTTTTATTTTCCATATGATTATTGCAGACTGGTCGTCAGTTCTCAGAAGAGGACGAAGTGGAGAAGAGAGATCCACTGGATGACTTAAAGGAACATAAGCAAGCATGCAGTGAGATAAGGAATTCCATTAAAAGTATATCAGCAATGAAGGACGCTGGTAAACCAGACACGGTGAGACACAAGCACCTGTGATATACACAAAATTGATAAATGTGTGTTCAAAGAAAAGGTGTTTATTCAATTTCTTAGAACTTATCACTGTTTGTATAATTTTCAGACTGACTTGTATCATTTTTGTGAACTAGATGATAAGCGTAAATAAAAGAGTTTGCTTTTCTTTTTAATTCAATTAATGATTATTTTTTCCAGAAAACTTTTTATTTATACATGTAAAAATTTGTGCTTTCAGGGAGAGGTGGAGGAGCTGCGTACACAGGGCACACTTCAGTTTCTTGTGCTCAAGAAACTCAACCGTTTGGCACACATCCGCTGCAAGAAAGTGAGGGACAGCACCAATGAGGTATAGTTTATTTTAGCTTGTAATCAACCTATATTCATTCAAAGTATGTTAATTTGTAACTAGTGTTCACTGGGGATAAGATACTTGTCAAAATATGTCATAGTTGCTTTACTCCAAATATCAATAAAACACAGCTTGCATTTCAGTAAGGAAAGGGTGAATCAGCATTTTTTATAATGAATTTATAAAGTATTTTCATGATTTACCAGGCCAAACAGAAGATAGACCAATATCACCTACAGTTACAGAACCTGCTGTATGAAGTCATGCATTTGCAGAAGGAAATTACAAAGTGTCTGGAGTTTAAGTAAGAGTTTTTCATTATTGATAAGATTTAGCCTAATTTTAAGTTACAGTGATAAAAAATAGATGATAAGTATTTTACAAGCATAAACTTTTCATTTCATTATTTACTCTCATATATTTGGGTGAGGTTAAATTGGCTACCCACCACTGTGTTAAAATCCACTGAATTTTGGTCTATTTCATTTTCTCAGCTAAAGCAGTTTTCTTAACATGCAACTTTTTTTTATTCAGGTCCAAAGATGAAGAAATAGACCTTGTCGGCGTGGAAGATTTCTATAAAGAGGCACCCCCAGAAATATCAAGACCGGTGAGTTTTGAACTTCACATTTTTATTGACCGTTTTTTCCTGTGAAGTCTGCTACTTACATGTGGAATATGGGAATTCACTAGGGATTAATTAAGCTGCTGGTTATCAGTATAGTTTTCCCTGATTCACTTGAACTGAATACTAACTAGTCTGTCACATGTTACTCCCAACACATGTTGATACCCATCCCATTTCAACACCTGGGTAAAGGGATACACTACCTGTAACATGCTTATAAAGGGTTGACACAAACTGGTAACCATTGGGTTTTTAATTCTCAGCCTCCTTTGTACATTTGGTCTGCCATACAACAACTGACTTTACAATCTCACCACCTTTGCTCATATATTTAGCTTGATTTCAAGTTGTGGTTAATGGTCTTATGGTTTACTTAATAGGCTTAAATTCATTTACATTATCTTTTTCTCCTGAAATAAAGTCAGGGGCAGAATTGCTTTATTTCTCCTGAAATAAAGCAATTCTGCTCCTGACTTTAAGTAAATGAGAGAAGAAGAGGAATTAGACGGCTAATAGAATTACTCTCTCTTGGGTTACTTTGAAAAAGATCTTTGGCATTTGAATTCTTTACTTTGTTTTAGGAGGTAACCAAGAACGACCCACATCAGCAGACCCTGGCCAGATTGGAGTGGGAGCTAGAACAGAGAAAAAGGTGAAGTAAAAACGTCTAATAAGATCACAGTTTAGACAGATATAACAGTTAAGTTTTGATGTGCTGTGTCTTTTATTTATGAAAATACTCCGAGGTTTCTTTTAAGATCATGGAAGTTAGTTGGTACATACATGTAGATGTGATTTGTGATTATCCAAATTGCTGCTTTATTTGTTTCATACATAATGAACATGGTTTATATTGAAGGTTGTCTGCAAATTTCAAGGAGACTCAAAATAGCAAGAACTTGATATCCCAAGATATCAAAAGCAAGAAGGAATACTTAGAGAGCTTACAGCCTAAACTTGTCTCTATAATGCAGGTTTGTAGGATTAAATCAACATTTCACAGATAATTCACAGATTTTATGTTTAATTTATACATGCTTATGCAATTTTATCATGTCATGAAATATATTGTTTTGTAGGAGTTAGTTACAATGAGTATTTCAAACTTAATCTGTATTATTCAAGCGCAGAACTTAACACAGCTTATATCACACCATGTAACACGTTATTTTCTCCCAGGCCACCAAACCAGTGCAAGAGTCTCTGAACATGAGATTTGATGAGATCCAAGAGCAGCACCAGACTGCACAACATCTTCCTCAGCCACTGTATGTCCTGTACATGCAGTCATCAGCCTATAAGGAAGCATGTGGTAGGTGTGACAGTGTGGGAAATGTAACAAATGTGTCAAGTGTGACATTGTGATAGGTGAAAAAGTGTCTTCTGTGTCAGTGTTTGGTATGACAGTGTGATGGACATGGCAGTGTGTCAGTCTATAACATGAGCTGAGACAAGTGTTTTAGGTCTAACATCAGCTAGCATTGTATAAGACCAGACATTTGGGCAGAGAGTATGTTGTGGTAGATGAGAAAAATGAGTTGGATGTGGCTTTGTTAATAACCTTTAATTAGCAGTTTTGTAAAACATTTTCAAACTTTTATCAATTTTCAAGGAAAATAGTTTACATTATACACAACCTTTTGCAAGATCAATAATGCTGCCTGATTGTTTTCAACACTTTCTTAGTTCATATCCCATACATTTCCTAATCCTTTTTGTTAGTTTTTGAGTGCTTTTGAAATTATCATTATTATTAGTTTTATTCTTGTTTTTGCAGATAAGAATATGGCTGTCAGTATAGAGGGAGATGTTGAAGCAGCAAAAACAGTGGAATCCCAACAAGACCAAGAGCAAGGTAGCTTACTTAGTCATCAGTGTCACATCTAACACAATACAAGTAAATTTGATGTTAAAAATTCTGTAAAGAATACTCACAAAAAAGTGAATACAAAAGAGCATACAAGTATATAAGTGACACTTAATCTCACATCATGCCTCCAAGAAGGGAGCAACGCAATGACCTCTAGAATCGCACAACGATCTCTCGTAAAATCTTGGTTAACCATGTTGCCATTATAGTAGAATTTGTTGTTAAAAATCCTGTAAAGAATTCTCATGAAAAAACTGAATACAAAAGAGCATACATGTATATAAGTGATACTTAGTTTCACATCATGCATGTCAGTGGTTTTTAGCCAGTCATCCAGCTTGCATAACAGATGCTGTGCAATAACCAAAATTGTTGATGTGCGGGGCTGTGGGCGTTGTTTGCAGTATTTTGAAACCCACATTTCAGAGAATGCGTGATGTGGTTCAATCATAATTGGAATGTAAAAGAAGTGTTAAAAGAGATGTCAATATCAGTGCAGTCTATACATTAAGTATACTGTATGAATCGTGATATCCCTTATGTTTTAGTTTATTCCATTATGTATTAAGATGTGACACTCTTGGTTTCCTGAGATGCTTTAAATTTAGTTGACCACAGCCATCTGTGCCAAGTTGCTCCATATTTTGTATCTTGGAGCCTAAGCCTTTGAAGCCTAGCTGCCAGTCAAGCCAAACTGTCAATCAAGTGTCTCACAGCCAATGAAAATATCAGATCAGAAATGTCTTTCTGTACTAGAGTCAGCCAGTCTTATCTCAGTCTTCAATGTCCTGAGTAAGGAAGCAGATATTTTTAAATGATTAAACTAAAAGATTTGTCAATTTTTGGACTTAGATGGCTGTGATTTTTTATACTCTAAGTATAAAAAGATATTCATTTCAGGGACACTGGAAGGTCTTTTTTCTTATCTTTATTTAATTTGATAATTGAAAATAAGATTGATGAACTTGATAAATATTGTCACATAGGTAAAGCTTGTATTCCACCTTTAGATATATGTCCAATTCTTTGTATAATCAATGAAAAAGGAGCAGAAGCTGGTGTGGCAGCATGATTATTCTTAATTGTGATTTCTTCATCTTTTTCAAAATTGTTCTGTTACACAGAAACTAGCAAAGTTAGCTCTTTGGAGTTTAAGGGATTTTTTTCTGTATGGTAATAAACAGTTTTGAAGAAGGAAGACACTTGGAGAGTAGAAGTCTTGCCTGTAGCAATAAATTTTGTCAAAATAGAAACATTGGTTCATATTTCTTTGCTTCATATGTACTTTGTTGCAGATGTCAATATTTATACTATGCCGCATAGATTCTTTTCCTCCAAAACCATGATTGTAAGTTACATTCCATTAATTTATTCTGCCACATTTTTTTTAGATGAGGACAGTGACAGTGATCAAGAGGAACAGGAACAGTCCAAGAGGAAATCTGTAAGTTGGATTTTGATGAAGTGGAATGTTATGATTTTCCCTGTCATGTTTGAGTACATTGCACTCCTTATTTTCCCTATCCATGGTATAAGTCCAACACATTGGTCCCTTTCATTTATGTACTCTACTTACACAACATGCTTTTATGGTTACATTCAGAACAGTGGATGAAATAGTTCAAGGGTCAACTATGGCGATCCACTAAAAAGCTTGCCATCTAATCTGCTAATAGACACTAAATAGATTCCCTGTGGGGAATATTCAAGTGGATCAGCCATTTTTGACCCTCAGACATGTTAGTCCACCGTTCTGAATGCGGCCTATGATGCATACACACAACTTCTCAACTTGTATTTTGTTTGTTACTACAGCATTGTCATAAGGATTCTTTGCATTATAGGCTGAAATATGTTGCATATTGGGGAGGCATAAGTTGCCATAACAGTGTATGTTTGGTGTGTCTTTTTTCTATTTGACTTCTCCTTGTCTTGCCTTGTTAAAATATTTTGGGCATCAGCTTTTAGTAGTCTTTTATTTGGCTTACATCTTACCTGGGTAAGTGGGGAAAGCAGTATATGATCATATTGTTTGTAGTGGGATGAGCCTTGTTAGCTGCAATACTGTTACTTGCAAAACGAAATCCAGTTTAATCTGCTTTTAATTAGGAAAATCTATTATTAACATTGTTCATTGATCACTATTTTATGGCATATGCAAGGTTTGCTTTGGCACACAGCTGCTACACATGGCAATTTAGCAGTGTTTTCCAGTACTGAAGTTTATCATTTTTATAGTTACACAGACACTGTAAGTATCTGTAGATATTCTGATCAGTCTCTCTGTCCATGTCTTGCTGCACTGTTTACATACTTTTGAAAGATGCTGTTTACAGTTGTCTGGCTCATTGGTAGTGACTTTATTTGGCCTGTATCACCATGCACACCATTTTTTTTTTTTTTTTTGCTTTTTTTTTTAAATTGATATTTTGGAGTTTTGAATAACTAGGGATGGATGAAAAATCAAATAATTTATTGAATAAATTCCATGAGTTATTCATAGAATGAGACAGTAAAGATCATTTGTTTGTTTGTTTTTGTAAAAAAATAGAATAGATGAACATTGATAAATAGATCGAATTTATGAATTAACATACCAAAAATAAAGTCATTGAAAACTATAATTATTTTTGTAAATATTTTCCTTTATTGAATTTTAGGAGGGTAAAATATGATAAAACATAGCAAAAAAAGATTAATAATAATAATAATAAAGATGGAAAATGTTTTTTCCCAACTTTTCCATGTCATTAACAGGTTTTGTTAAGAGCATAGAGCACTAACTATATCCTGCAGAGTATTGTAGTACTTTCAATAGCCTTGGTGTGTCATGCACTGAAAACCTGTGAAACAGATTGGTCATAACTATAACTTGGGTATCATTGTTCTCAAGTGTTTCAGACTGCTGGAATATTAAAGCTAAAAAGTCATTTTAGATGATTTCTTCCGAGTCTACCTAATATCCACCTCATTGACTTCTTCAGCTGATGCTGTAACAGACATAACCTGAAAAGCACCCATTGGTACTATATGAAATTAGATCATCTCAAATAACGCTTACTCACCAAATCTGTAGATTTCCTTTACAACTGATGTCAATCTTTATCTTATTGCCACAGGTGTGTCATTTGTTTTCATTTCTGTATAAATGTTTCATAAGTTTGTCAGAATTGTAGAATTCTTAAGAGCATTAACACCTTGGTTTCTCCTTGAATCTTGAGAAGTATTTATCAGTCTATCTGAGTTGAATGGGTGAAGACAAGAATATACGTAAATGTACGTATGTAACCAGTATGTAGAACAAACAGCATGAATGTTTCTTATGATATGTGGAATAAGAGAGATGGGCCAAAACTTGAAATAAAAGACAGATATTTTGTTCCTTAATATTTGGAATATCCTGTGTGAAAATAATTTTTAAAAAGTAATTTTATTGTTTTAACAGATAAAATTGTACCATTCATTCTGGGAGCAATAAAAGAGTTTTTAGGGGAGGGGATACCTTGACATGCATTTACATTTATAACTGTTGTAACCAAACACAAAAAAATATGATTATACATATTTCATAGATACATTTTACTGTCGTGTCTAGAGTTCTGTTCTGAAAACTTCCTCTATGGGATGAACAAACCTAACCATACAGTTTCAGGCTTTATTCTCTGCCATTACTACATCAGATTATTTGATTTATTTAGAAGAAACCCTTTTTAAACAAAATGGCATAGATTTCTTGATTTTAGATATAATTTATGATAGGTGTGAACGCAAAAGACTTTAAAACCCAAATACACAATTTCTGGCAGAAGGAAGGTATTGCACCTCTCTCATGCTTTTTTTTTTCTTGATTGAAAAAAGAGAACACAGATAGAAAAACTAATTTGATAAATCTTAGCAAGGGAACACACACACACACACACAATAGTGCAGTGGGGTAAGGCAAAATAGAAATGAATTAACTGGAAATTGAGGATTGTTTTGACAAAGAGTGGGTTCATAGTTGGGGAGATGCCATAAATATGATCTACTAAGCTTGTGGTTATTTCATATGTGAACAACACAGCATTTGAGGATCATGAAATATAAGTTATTATGATTTCTCAATACCTCAAATGACCTAGAAATGTAAAATTGGCAAATTGTTGACAAAGAATTCCCCATTAAGACGTCCATGTGGTCTTACTTATCATTCAGTGTTTTAAGATGGAAGGGAGCCTTTTAAACAAGCTTAGAGACCACCACTTTCATGTGAAATCATTCTGCTAAAACACATATTAATTCTACAGCTCTAACTGGTGACTTAGCAGGGTTTGCTGATAAAAAATTCATTTTTGGTTTGTGTGATTTTCTAATTTACAATAGCATCTATCAAAACAATTCATATGGCATTATTAAAATAGATAAAATACCCATATAACAATGCATGTTTTATTTTAACAAGTACAGTTTTAACTTCTCTTTGCTGTTCCACATACTATCAGAAAAGTATCCATATTTGCATAACTTAAATTATAGTTTTGCAAGATATCTGTTCTTTTGGAATATCCTAGTTTTTCTGCACTGCAAGAAGCTATATCAAAATTATTCAGATAATTACCAGTCTCACTGGAAATCATGTCCTGAAGTTTGAAAAAAATTGCAATTGGTTTAAGCCGAACTTGTGACCAGTTCAAGTTACAATCACAACATTGTTTAAAGTTATACAGAATACACTTTTTCACATGAGATAAATGAGCCACCCTGTAGGGTTAAATATTGTTTATTTATTTATTTATTTATTTATTTTATTTTCTTTTTCAGACTCACTGAAGTTAGATTTGGTGGCTTTTGTATGTCTCAAAAAAAAAAAAAAAAAAAGAATTATACTGTCCAATCTGCATCTTCTTCCTTGCCTGTATGCTGTACGACAAAGCCATAACCCAGGCCCACATTATCTATTGTGTCTGTAACTTTTTCCACCACAAGATTAATAACAGGCTGAACTTCACAGCATCATACTTTCAGAAAAATGCACCATATATTTTTATTTGATTAATGTGAAAGTGTATGTTGACATACATAAATCTTCATGTCACTTTTTCCATTAATGGTACAAAACTTGTTGCACTTTCCATAATTGAGATATCCATTTCAGTGGATGAATAGGTGTTGTGACAGACAGCTGAACTTTTAGATGGAACTTGCTGTTAATAACTTCACAAGCAGAAGTTTAAAAAAATTGCTATCATCAAATTTACATAATTTCCATTTGGATTCTTGCATGAGACTTGTTAATATTTATTGGATGCTTATTTGAATTTTAATAAAGTCAATAAAGCATTTACTCGTATAGTGACACTGTTAAAGTCCTGACCTATTTTTACTTAGGCAACTTTTAATTAACAAATAGAAATTTTGGTTTTCCACAGAAGCATCGCCGCCATACTACCTCTAGTGACCGTCTGGAACAAAAGCGTGAAAAACTGCTGAAGAGCCACCCACTGACAGTGGTGCTGGAAATCAAATGTAAAGGTAAGGTGTCAACTGCAGTGAATATAATAACCTCCATTTAAAATGTAGAAATGAATGTAAATAGTATGTATATGATATTTGAATTATTGTATCAGTCCTGGTTGAAGTCATAAGCACCTGTTGGGGCCTTTTAAAAAAGGAAATGACACGAGCCTAAAATGAAGCCTTGACACTATGTGACATATGCGACTTGAAAATTTGCAAGAGAGGTGGGGTGCACTTTTAGCAAAAAGAAAAAACACTTTGTGCTAAGAATGCCGTGTAAGAATGCAATACAAAAACATTGTGTCTTTGCACAATACACTGCAGTTCATCAGAACTAAAAGAAAACGACCTGAAAATTATCCTTGGATAAATTCTATGAGCTTTTATTTGTTGCCACTCTGTTCTATCTGGCCCTCCATTATTTTTGATCCCCCTTTTTTCTTTCCACATCCTTGAGTTTACGATGAATTGTGGATAAGTCTTAGACTGTTAATCACTATTTTTTGGGTGCATTTCAAACATAATTTGTAGCACTGGCATATACTACCATATATCAGTCTGCATGTGAAAGATTTTATTACTGTTTTTTTACTGCTTGGTTTGATTCAAGAAGTTCTTTTGTTTGTGACCAATGATCTTCACACCCATGCCCTACAATTTACTGCATATAAAAAAAGTAATAAAATGCCCTTGATCTTTTAATATGTAAGGTAAAACAAAGTTTAACTTCATGATTTGATACAGTATACAGTAGTCAGTTGGCAGACATTAGTGGTATTCTTACCCTCAAATTGTCACACTCTCTCCCTCTTTGATAAATAAGTAGATGTTTGAATATTGACATGGAAAGGGTTATGTTGGTGCAACAATAATTCCTCATACTCGTTTTTCAGAATTACGCAGTATTCTTGATAGCATTCACAGAATATATTGTGTAGGAATTGCTTTCATTAATTCTAATTATATGCATTTCCTGGTTATGCAACCACACTACAGAATATGGAAAGGAAAGGAAAAAAGTGTTGTTATTTTCTGTAGTGCTGTTCATTACATTTCACTGAAACTTTGTTTCAGAAAAATTTAAGTAGTGAGAGAGGTTTTGTTACGTGAAGATTTTGCATTAAATTTGAATTGAAATAGATAGCGTAAAGGTGCCTACATACTTCAAATGCTTATATATATTCAGCTATTTGGTGCAGTTACAGTCTCTATTGTTACATTTAGTGTTTGAGATTGTTCTCATCTTTTGCAAAAACAATAGTTTAACACCTTACCAGTGTGTTTTATAACTGCTATATATATTGCCTGATATGCCCAAACCCATTATTTAACACAGCTTGTGTCTAATGATTCAAGGTCTGTTGATTGATACCTTGATCACTGATTATAATGTTGAACAGACATTTTCAAAACATTAGCTTATGACTTGGTTAAATTTTATTTTAGTTACATAAGTGGCTAATTTCAGTTTCAACATTATGACAGTAATATTATATAATGGATGGAAATATGTAGTAGTATTGAATGCTAAAACTTTTTTAGTCAAACAAAGACCTTTGGATTGTCAAAGAGCATACCAATGATTTTTTTCTTGTAAATATGATTAAAGTGAAGTTTTTTCACCATCATAGTAAGGTATTTTTGATAAGCAGCTGATCACAGAAAGATTGTGTGATTTATCTGATCAGAAATGTGTTAGCCATGCATTGAGAGATCTGAGTAAAACCTGCCTTTACATGTACTTATATGTCCTCTATAATCTGTTTCAAAACCTGCTTTTCCTTGAAAGTAGCAATTGTTAAGCTGATTTAATTGATTAAACGTACCATTAAGTCCTACATAGATTATCTAGAGATGGGGGCGGTAATCCACACCATTGCAACAGTTAATCTGTTTTTACCAATGGCTCAACCTTCTCAGATATTCTTAATGTATTGAAGGATGATGAAAACTGGCAGGCACTAGCACCTTTCAGAAGTCACATAGACCACATGACATTTTTTCACTTAAGATTTTTTTTTTTTAGTCTGCCTAAACTAAAAAAGGTAAAGTCATGAAAATTTCAGCATTTATTGAAAACAACATTTTCCTAAAATATACCAGATTTCTATATATGTGTGTGTTTATGTGTGTACTACTAAAAAAAAAAGATTAGGGAACACCTGCCATTTAAGATGCAAAAATTTGAAACCACTATCATTAAATGCAGGGAGTAAGTAAACAGACCAAGGTCAGTTTGACCTTGTGCCACAACCCCAGCTCAGGATCATTATTGTATTGTTCATTTTACTGTCACTGCCAGAACACTACAGATATCAACTAGTAGAAGGGCCACTCACATTGCTATTAGTGACCCAGTTGTCAGTAGCCGTTTAAGGGAGTAAAACATGACTTCAGGCAGTGCAACCAGTCCTACTGGCAAGACACAGAAAATCTTGTATGGCATTGGCGACCTGTCACAGAGGCTTGACACATTAAGAATGGTCACAAGTTGCCTTTAATGAGTTCAGATTTATAACCCAGAACAACAATGGCAGAACTCAGGTGTACAGGCGAGTTCAGATAGACTGACCTTAAGTGAGCGTAACAAGTATGGTGGTGGCAGTGTTATGACTTATGGTAGGCTTATATTTCACCAACACACTCCCCATTCAATTATTAATAAAAATCTCACTGGATTCTACTACAGGAGTGAAATCTTGATATGATACAGCAGGTAAGGCCATTCCTCTGTAGAATAGATCATGGATCTGTTCTACAAGTTGACAACACATGCCCTCACCATGCAAGTGTTGCCAAAGCTTTTACTACTACTAGAGGAACATCCACAGAATGAGCTATTCAGTTTATTCTCCTGAAATGCATCCTTATTATGGGACAACTTATGGTGCTATGATTTCAGCAAAATCACGACCATCAACAGAACTCGATCAACTCTCTCAGTGGCTTATCCAAGAAGGGAATTCCATTCCACAGTGCTCACTAGCTGCAGACAATTATTACTCAATGAGAAGTGTTGTGACACTTGTGTGGTTTCCAGAGGTTGACACAAATGATAATAAAACAACTCAAAGAACTGTCATTTTTTTACCTCCCCCCCCCCTTCCTTTTTATGCCCATTGACAGTAAAGTCCAAATGCAATGCACACTTAAATAAAACAATGGTTTACAAATGTTATTGCTACATTTGTAGTTGTTGAAAAGAAAACATTCTCTTTTTAATATCTGCTTTTTTAATTGTTCGCTAACTTCTTTTGAGTAGTGTGTGTGTGTGTGTGTGTGTGTGTTCCAATTTTTAATTTTTTTATTTATTTTCATTTTGTTATAATTATTATTGTCACAATTTTTGTTTGTTAATTAATTTATGTATTTTGACTTTCATTGTATGCATGTAGCCTTGCACATATAATTATTGTGTATTTTTTTATTATTAGAGGAAGGAACCTTACACCTGGTGTTTTCCTACCTTCTTGTTTTGAAGATTGTGACAGTTACTGTCAAGCTGTTGCCAGGAAAAGATGTTGTTTCTGGCAACATATCTGGAAGGTATCTGCTTTACACTTACTTCTTTAAAGTTCAACTTACCATATTTTCTATCCTCAATTTTCCCTGGTTGAATTGGTAACTTCTCCAAAACTAAAAAGTCATTGAAACATTTTAAAAATAGCATTTTTGTCCTTCAAATACTGATCCTCAATTATCAGACATGAGCTTTTTCCGCTGAAAATTGGAATTCCACATTTTTTAATTCAATTCTTATGGTTCCTGAGATTCATCAAGGTTAGGTGTTGGGTCTCATGATAATTGTTTTGTTTTTTTAAACTTGGCTCATGTCTGATCATGTAGGAGATGGGGGAACCCGGGTTTTTGAAGAAAATCACACATTGAAATAATGTTCAACATATTTGATTAATCATTTGTACCTAGTCACCATGATTTTGAAATAACTTGTCAAGATATTCCCTATAATGAATTGCATCATGAGAGACCTTTCAAAACTTTGTTAATTTGTATTTGCTTCCCTGCATTACAAAGGCATATAACAGGAAATCTGTCACATTTGCAATACTCATATTTCATCAGATTCCATCCAAGGTGCAATTTGATTCTGTTGCAGTGACCTTCTTGCCCCAGATTCAATTCTAACATGCCTGTACCCTGGGGATGAGGGGAAGAGCACGCCAAATCCAGCTAATCAGTTTGAATTGAATAGACTCAGGTAAACTTTTTTCTATTTAATGGTTCATATCTTAGTTTCTAATCTGATGTTTTCTAATCTTTTTCACGGAAGGGATGATATGGCCTTTTCTGACAGTAAGTAATAATATTAAGCATGCTTGAGAGAAACTTTCAAACTTTAAAAAGTTATGATGTATACAGTCTGGTGAAAAGTAATCTGTGAGCAACACTCAACCGAAGATGTGTTCAGTCATGTTTGAATGAAATATAGAAATGTACTTGGTGATGGATTTATAAGATTTAACCAATGTTTATTGTGACATAATTGTTATGATCCAATAGTTTAAATGATTCATTGTTGTGTATTCAATTCTTTTGTCCTGTTGTCAATAATAGCTTTTAGAGTACTTGATCAGGAGCTTATCACTAATTGCTAAAGGAGACAGATCATCATCTGAGTATCTGGATACACTTTAAAAATATGACTTTGTGTGTGTGTGTGTGTGTGTTTGTGTGTGTATACATGGCCCTTTTCCCTCCATGTTTGCGAAAACTTAAATCAATCTTTAACTTGCAGCTGATTTACGGCACATGATTATAATTTACAGAATTATATTTATCCCTCGTTTTTTTTTTTTTTTAATTCGTATTTTGTGTATTAATCAAAGTACAAATGTCAATAATTTTGTTGCTACCAGTCAATAGGAGTGTTCTAATTGTAAGAAATTATAACCTAAAAAATACAGTGTCTGTAAAATTCACAATTTTTCCCCACTGAAAAGATTGAGTAATTACTGTAGTGTCTGGAAGTAACCTTTTTCAATGTTGACTAATTTGATTATTGTGGTAATAGCATTTTTGATTAATTGAAATGTGAAATAAAGAGTCAAATCTGTATGCATGGTTTAGATTGTGTAAAGTAGCAAGCTCAGGGCAAAAGTAGCAACTTTGCATGTTTATTTTAAAAAATGGAGCAATGGGAATGTCTTTTTTTTTTTTTTTTTTTGAATATTTGCCAGCTTTGCTGTCTGTTTCATATATATCTTTCATTGAACATCTTTTCAGCATGGACAGCTTCAGTTTTTACATTTCAAAAGTTGGTCATCCATACTTGTGGGTGCAGTGGTTGTCTGGCCTTCAGTTCCTGACCGCCTCCCCCTTGACCAATGACCAAGTGAGCAGTAGCCACATGGAGGAGACCATCCGCAGGCTGAGGAGAAGGGTAGCGTCCAGACTGTCCCTACAAAAACAGCTGGCTTCATTAGGTGGGTTGATCAGAGAGCATACAAATGGATAAACCATGTTGGTATCTTTCTCCTCCTTCTCTGTTATTTCCCCGAGGACTTATGAAAAATGTCTTATTTTGGAATAGTGCAACTCTGGCCTTACCAAGTATTATTAGATTACTGAATGAGTAAAGGTTGCGGCAGATTCCCAAAGGTGTACTAGACAGTCTATGGGAGAGTGGTTAACTGTGCCTTGAAGTGAACTGGTGACATTATGGAATTAAATACTAACCTATAAGATAGTACTTTTTTTCTTCCATTTTGTGGTTAAGTTTTTTAAAGCTTATTATGTAATTGGATGTAATCTATTGTCATCACTCTTTGGAAAGAAAAAAACAGACAGTAATCCTTTTAAGAAATTGAATGATTAATATAATGGCTCTTTGTGTAGATGTATGGAGAAAATACCACTGTCTGTTCCTAAGAAGAGTGTCATTTTGCAGAGAAAGGAATACAAAGTTCTTCTAAGTCAAACATAACATGCAAGCACTTGACAAGATATGTAACAAGAAAAATACATGCAATTTATGTATTAGCATTGACTTACTTTCTGCTGCTGTTTACTGATGCAACAGTTTGTGATGGGTTAAAAGTTCACGGTAAAGTTCAATCTGTTAAAAACAGTCTTATTATGTGACACATTATTCCCCGTTTTAGTTCTTCACAAAATCAGTTTCGTTGAGCACTGAGTGATTGAGCAAAAGATGTCAGTCAAGAATTGGTCTCGGAAAGTTTTGATGATGTTTCTTTAATTTAAAGTTGATGCGTACATTGAAAAACGAATTTTATTAAATGATTGTAAGGCTATCAAATATTGGCATGGAAAATGCAGGATCATTTTGTTTCTTGTTTTTTGTTTTTTAGCATATATAAAGAATATTATAGGGTCAGGAGCAGACTTGCCTTTAAACTCATTTCCATATAAGAACATTCTCCTTGCATTGCTCTACATGTTGACCGCAACATTGGTGTTGCGAGTGACATATTAGTGACGAGTTACTAAACTGGCACGCTATTAACACAAAGTCATGCGTTGCTTTGCAGAGATCACCATATCTATTCACCCCACAGACTAACTGACCCCTAACTTTATTTTTGTTGCTGAGATCTGATATCTCCTTTTTTTTAGTAGATGGAGAAAAAATATCTTGCGTGCAGTTTTGAACTTGGAAGCAAAAGACTTCATGCAGATAATATATAGAAGCATTATTCTTTTATGTGTAACATTCTCTTTTCCTAAATGCCTAGTGAACTTGACATGGCATTAGTATCATATAGCTATATTTTTCCTTGATGTGATATTAATACCAATTATCTAGATGCAGCAATTTTAGATTTTCTGACTTCGTTTTCATTAGGGTCTTGTTGCTGCTAATTGAATTTGGCAAGGTATTCCTGTGTTATTACTGAAATACCACTTAGTGGTATAGTTAGTCACTTTATATCCTTATAATAAAGATGTCTTGTGACAGATCCACCAGAAAGATATGATTTGTTATGTCAGGTTTTGTTGGATCAGTAGACGAGTAAATGCTTGTTTTGGTTTTAGAAAGAATGAGTGTTTCAGCATTCCTCCATAGGGATCTGTTTTTTTCTAAACTCGGAATCTTTTCACCTAATCAGGGCTATGTAGTGATTCTGTAACCGTACATTTAGAATTTTACAATAGGAGATCTTGCTGGAGTCATAAGTGGGACTGAAATATAGTTAAAAGTTACAAAATGGTCTTGGTCAGAACATGAAGTTTTTTCTTTTTCTATGACTTTCTGTGTGTATATAGCGGTGTAATGTTCTGCTGCTAGGGTACCTAGAAAATAAAAGTATTTTTGGTTCAAACTTGTTTGTGTCATCTGTCCAATGCTACCCCAGATTGTTTGTATCTATCTGTCTGTCTGTCTGTTTGTTTGTTTGTTTGTTTGTTTGCATGCGTGGATGGATAGATAGATAGATGGATGTGCCTGAAAAAAGTTTTTTTGTGATACTGGCATGCATGTGCTGCAGAACAAAGTTTGTTAAGAGAAGCTGACAAGGCAGTTTGCTAAGTGGGGGAGGTGTTTGAGCTGCAAGGGCATGAAAGTTAACATGGGGAAGGCTAAGGCCATGGTGTCTGCAGTAGGCTGAAGTGAAGTTTGCAAGAATGGAGCTTTCCCATGTGGGGTATGTGGGATCAGAGTGGGTATAAACTCACTCATATGCACCAGTTCCAGACACTGGGTGCACAAGTGCTGCAGTGGTGTAGCACAAATCATTGAGGCATAATGCCAAGACCAAAGGCAGTGGGGGACCGTGAGACTCTTAAGGTAGAGAGTAAGAAATACAATGTAATAAACAGATTCTGCTGTTTTGGCAATGTGCTTGGCAGTGGGGGTGGGGTTTCGGGGTTGGGGGGGGGAGGGGGGCTCACATGCTGCAATCACTTCCCGTATCTGAAAGGGATGGAATAAAGTTCAGGATCTAGCACCATTTCTTACCTCAGGAGTGCCTACACTTAAGATGAATGGCAGTCTTCTTCATCACCTGTGACAGCAGTTCCTTGTTACATGGAAGTTGGATCTGGCCTATAATCATAGAGTTGGACCAGAGAATTGTAATGGCAGACTCGAGGATGAGAAAGATTCGTGGACCCAGGCTCTGTGAAAGATACTCGGACACAACTGCTGTCACTGATGGACCTGGAAAAGATTACAGAAGCTCTGAGATGGAGAAGGCTCAGTTGGTTGAAGCATGTAGTCAGAAAGGAAGATGAGGTGCAGGTTAAGAAAATATGGAATAGATGAAGGAAAGAGGGAACATGGTTCAGAGGTCACTCTTGGAGGGCGTGAGAAGCAGCAATCAGGAAGGACTATGCATCTCTACTAGTAACACCAGGGATACACCAGATAAAAAGGGATGGAAGAAGTCCACAGGTGCATGGATGTGGATGAAAAAGTTGATGATGATGATTATGATGATTATGATGATAAGCCAGTATTCTTGAACATTTATTGTCTTTGGATACCTTATTAATAAACAGATTTTGGTGCTCATACAGTGTCTTCAAATTCACTCTCAGAATAGTTGATAAACTGTCCATAGTCTTTTATGTTTTGTATGGAGGTATGGGGCTGCACATTTGATAGCTTTTGCTGCTTAGTGCATAAATCATTAAAATATAAACCATGAATCAAGTGAAAATGCTACACTCAGGGGGGTTGCAATAATCTTCAGAATGTTGAACTGAAATGTTTTTGATTAATGACATTTTCCAGTGGGCTCAGTACACTGATTAAAAAGACAGTGTTTGACAACAACACTACAATCTAAGCTGTTTCACTTAACTTTATTTCCTCTCTCAGATCTTTGGAATCTGATATGTAGGCACTTAGTTACCTCAAATTGCCTTCAAAAAAGAAAGAAAAAAAAAGAAAAAAAGACAAAATGGGAACCTACAACCTATGCATAATAGATATTTTGTGACAAAGTTTGTTTAGAAAGATAATTAAATTATCTTTTTTGGTCTTTCAGAACATGGCAGTGTTCCAGTGAGCTCGGAGTATATGAGTCTGTTTCCCCCTAAGATTTCTAGCAGGCTGGTTTCCTGGAGACGCAGCACATATGATGACTTTGCTGTAAGGGCTTTGATCTTTCCTGCCAGTGTCTAATTAGTAACCTGTCCCCTGAGAGCCATTTACCATTATCACTGTCCCATTATGACATATACTAGTCATTGCCAGTTCCATTTCACTGATTTGATCACTACAATGCATGCCATGGTGTAGCATGGAAAGCATACAGTGAAAGACAGTTAACTGTTAAGGAGGACAGGCCCATAAACATACATTGCACCTGCACTGCCCTTTTTCATTTTGGGAATGTGGTCATTATTGTTAATTTTCATGGTTATATTTGTATTTATAGAGAACGTGAACATTAATGTTAATTTTTATTTTGTCAGTCAAGAAATAGATTAAAACAACTCTCATTTAAAGTAGACACACCAAATATTTGTAATAAATACTTCAATCATCCTCTTACCTTTTTAGTATTGGTGCTCATGGAATCTGCAGATATTACATCTCTTGTCAAGCACCAGTTTTTTGTCTTGCTTATTTTTCTGTGTGCTGTTTTAGTATAATATTCTGAGTTTTTATCTTATTATTATTTTTTTAGGCTCTTCCTTACTGCAAGCATTTGATAGATAGCTGTCTGGCCAAGGATTCCGATCTATTCTTCACTACTTGTGCCGAGAGAGGATCAGGTAAGTTTTTCCTGGTTTTGTTTGTATGCAAACTATATAACAGAGATTGAGTGATGGGGGATACTACTTCTAGGTCTCATGTCTTGTTTTCCATTTACCAAATATTGTAAAACGAAGACAAACTGACCGATATAGGACTATCTATTTTATTTATGGACATGCACTGTGTGTCTGGACATTTACCCTTCACCTCTCTGTCATCGTCATTGTCATGCACTTTCTGCATTAGCACCATAAAAGGAAAGGTATGTTGCTTATTTGTTGAGTTGATTATTTTCCCAGTAGTTACAAATTTAATGTGAATTTTTCATATTTCACAACGAAAGCATTTTCAAGGCATTTTCACTAAACCCAACCAAATGTTATCATATAGTGGCTAATAGCATAACCAAAGGGCATTGTCTTATACTTCTTAAAAAGGACATTTGAGCAGATATTATTTTTCTTTCCGTGCTGTGTATGACCCTTGGCTAGGCCGCGACCTAAATATGGTGGACCTACATGAAAGGAAGACCGATTAATCCGGTAATGGTCTCTCCACCTCTCACATGCCTCCCCACATGTCGAATCTCAAACGGTTGAATTGAGCTGAGATTTAATTACTGTGCCCCTGCAGGGACGACATGTGGAGAAGCCTGAAAGAGGCGGAGATACAATTACAGGATTAAGCAGTCTTCCTTTCATGTAAGTTCGCCATATTTAGGTTGCGGCCTAGCTACCACTCGGCTCTTCTCAATCTGCATGGGGTCTAACAGATATGGCTGATCCACTTGAATGCTTTTTGCATAATCCCCGTGGAGAATCTATTCAATGTCCAATCAGAGTTAAGCGACAAGCTTTTTAGTTGGTCACCATATTTGATCTGCGGATCTGTTAGTCTGCTGACTTGAATGCACTCTGAGATGGAAAAATGTTGAATAATATATATTAGCCAGTCTTGATGCAGGCAGCATTTAGTTGTGATTTTGTTACTGGAACTATTTTTGTATGCATATTGCACAAGGTACTAGAGCTTGAATTATCTCCTAATTATGATATATTACTAGCTTGGAATGGAAAAAGATCTCGAAATCTTGCCGTACATCAAACATACATACGTTTATCCTAAGCTTATGTCAGTCTGCAATTATTGAAATAGCAATAGCTTTAGTACCTGACAAAATTCTCCTCTCAGTTTCTTTTAAGGTGTCTTTAAAGGGCAATCCACTGATTGCTTGTGACAATTGCAAAAAAAATTCAAACATAGCATGAACTTTGGTGTGTATGTGGGTGGTGTTGGCATGTCAAGCAAAAGAGAGCATGCTGAAGTTGTCACCAACCAAAGAAGTACCCTTAACACTTGCATGACTGAGTTATATACTTGAAATTACCATAAGGTCTTTATATCAATGTAGGTTGTTAATATATTTTCTCTCTCTCTTTTTGAATCAGTTTTTAGTCAAATAAGAGTCTGCTTTAACCCAAGGCTGACTGTTAAATGATCTTAGCCTATCTTGACCTGAAAGACTTGTATTGAGCCAGGACTTGTTTCAAATTATTGCTGATAAACCCAACCAAATACCACCACTGATTTTCATCACATTATTTCAAAAAAAAATGCACATATTATCTGCTTACCTGTTGTACTTTATGAACAAGAGGGAAAATAAGTGGGTCAGTTTTACAACCAGAAATTTGAAGGTGCAGTTCTGATTTAAATCCCTATTTTAGTGCCTGAGAGAATATTATAATTCAAAAATGTTCTTTGGTATAGGGATTTTATTTGTGTCATGTAGCAAACTGGCACTAATACTTTTCCTGCTACTTTGCATTTTCTCTTAATTCATTTCTTTAACTAAAGTCTTGAATACAATAAACAAGACAACTGAAGATATATTTTACTTACTTGACAGTTTAACTAATATTGATAAAAAGAAAAAAAAAACTTCAAAGAGTTGAACTACATTTATCTTTGATGAATATTACCAATACGGACACTATGCACACCATCATGTTCATGTCATCAGTGTCATCAGACAACTCTGTGAACCCACCTTTGTTTTTGCTTTGATTTTAAATGACAATTTTAAAAATAATAGAAGGAATTGTATTTATTTTCAGCTAAGCTTAAGGTGGAAGTAGTGGTCAGTCCAGACTACCCAAGAACTCCTCCAGTAATGGCAGTGGTACTCCAGTGGAGGACGGATCATACCAATCTCAATGATGTTAACATCAGGGTAAGGCTACGAGAGTTTTTTTTTTTTTTTTTTAATTATTTTTTGTAGATGCTCCTGTCCAGAAATCCATGTTTGCTCATAATTTCAGTGTGGAAGTCAGGGGCAGATCCAGAGATATTTTCTGACAGTCTTCCAAATTATCTTTGTTGATCAATCCTCCATTTTTTGATGATCTTCCAACAGAAAAAAATAGATACCCGCCAATGTAAACTTTAAAATCTGACCGTCTTCCAGAAGACCCAGAAGATGGCCTCAATTCACCCCTGGAAGTTATACTGAGATGGAGCTGTTGTGGTTTGCCCAGACCACTTCATTATACTCCTTATATAGCTAGCTCCATCTGTCATTTATCCGAAAGTATGTGGGATACTGCCGCAATGCCATGATAGGACCACTTTTATCATTATCATCATCATCACTGATTATTAATGTTAGTTGAGAGCACAATAATTGCACAATGGGTTAAGGATTAGGCCCTATCTGGTTAACAATCCTATAAAAATTCTTTAATCTATATGGTGATAAGAAACACGCATTTGCATCAAAATCTAATCACTTTTTTTTTCTGACCTATCCTGAAAGTTTTATCAAAATCCATCCATAACTGTATGAGTTATGCTGGTGACAAAAAAAAAAAAAAAAGACAGAAAGACAGACAAACGAGAACTCTCAGTAGAACTGAGTGCACCCTTCAAAATAATAATAAGAAAGAAATCAAAAACCAATGTACGCATTTCAGCAGCATACATAGTTGTCACTATCGTCTTCAGCCTGGTAATACTTTAAACCAGCATTGGTGTTTCTGTCCACATTTTCTCATATGAAAACAATGTTAGGGTCATTATTATTATTTATTTATTATCAACCAAATCAATATAATCAAAAAAAAAAAATTAAAAAGAAAGGAAAAAAAAGAAAAAAATAGTTACAATAGACACAAAATTAGTACATGCACACATCAATCTGTAACACTACCTGTGGAGATTAGGCACCCAATGATATTATTAATGTACAAAACATGTTCTATTATTAATTCAAGTCACTTGGACACAAAACATACCAGGATAGATAGAGAACTTAGACAAAATCAAAGCCTGTAGAATGTTACATTTTACTGCTATAAATAGATAATAAGTGACAATCTGTATCATCACCATAAATTGGTGCTTAGTTCTGCGTACCAGTGCAATGATTAAAGAAGAAAAAAAGAATGTTACCTTCACAATTGTGAGCTAGAAGGTGCAAGCCGACATACAAACACAAAAACGCTCTCACAAACAGAATGAGCAACAGACTGCAGAAATCCCCAAAGAGGGATTCTGCAGTAATGAAGGTAAAATAACTTCCTTGCAGAGGTAATCAGTACTGAAAAACAAAGGGGCATTTTTTTTCCAAAGTTGATCTCATAAACCTATAATTTAATCTTTATTTTTCAACAAATTCATGTCAGGTATGTGTTGGTATTAATAAGAAAATCGGCAAAATTTAAGGGAAAATATACTATGTAACTGCCTACAACACCAAGACCCCCCCTTTAACCAAAGCTATGATTACCTAATATTTATGATAGTCATGCTTCCTGTGTGGTGTTTAACAGCATTATTGTACCATACAACATACCAGGTTTCATCACTTTGCAATTCCCCCAGCAGTATATTGCCACACTTACTCGTGCTCTTGTTGAAATTTTATCTTAAGACCAAATGAACAGGCTAATAATGAACTGGTTGGTTTTGAAAGTGATGTAATGATAAATAAATTGTCATTTGTCATAACCAAAACGCATTCCACTGCCATCATCTCCAAGGCAATCCACTATTTTGTCAAGAAATTGGAAGAAAATGTTCGCAGAATTCTTCAATAGATCTGCTTTCCTGTGTAATTGGCATTTTGAGCAAATACCACAAATTGAGTGTGGTTGCATGACAAACTTGAGAGTCGTTTCTTGATTGTGGCAACACTTCAAGATAAGTGAAATGCTATTACCCACAGGCCATATTTTTTTTTCTAAGAAATTATGAAAACATTTTTTGATATGAAATATCACCTGCCCATGCCAGACAATTCAAACCATATATAGAATGCAGGTGATGCTACTTTATTCCACCAAGTCTAAACTATAGCCTTCAATTTCTTCCTTTTTCTGATCATTAATGTGAAATGTGCCCTACCCAATTACCTTTATGGAACCGTATGAATGCAGTAGAAAATGAAACTATCCTGTAATGTCACACCTTTCAGCTAAGACCCTTGGGAGTGTGTTTTGTGGATGATTGAAGCTCTCTGCTTAAGGTGATTTCAAGCGGTTGTGTTTGGGCGGAGAGAGATGAAAATCACACTGTACTTTGCTGAATGAAGCATTTAGAAAAAAAAAGACTTTTCATACTTCAAGAAAGGGTTTTTAATGAACATGTGTGGTGGAATCCACAGTGACAAATTTTACAGTGCATCTGGTATACAGTGAAGATCATATTTTATGTCTCCTTGATCTAAACCGACTTAAATAATATGACATACCTATTAAAAGAATAGAACAAACTCAAGTATAATGTTCAATATTTGGTTGTGATTTGTGTTTTTTACTACTTTTAATATGTTATACCCTAGCCCTCCCCCATTGTCAATTATTGAAAAAATGTTTTACTCTTTTCTATTACTGTAGAAAGGAATTCATTACATGTTGAAAGAAATTTTAACTGAAGAAAATATCACAGCATATATGCTATATTCCTCTTGTTCTGTAATGTTAGTATAGAGGTGAAGGGGTTGGGTCAAAATGTACTTTTTGCATTGCTTAGGAATATAAGAAATATATCACGCAGAAATCATTTAAAGTACATTACTTGTAAAAGACGTATTCAGATGCTGACAATGAAAAAAGACAACAGTGTTTTTTCCTTCTTTATTTCATAAAAATATTTTACCAAATCGTCTTATTAACGTATTGTATGATTCAGAGGAGAAAATATAGGAAATTTATCAACAAATATCACAGAGAAACCTTGGTACTTAACAGTAAGAGGTCACTTTATTCATGCTTTTTCCATGATTGGATGAAAAAATCATACCTCAGGGCTCATTACTTAACTACAAATGTTAAAAAAGAGTAGATTCTTGTATGATATTTTAAAAAAGGAGAAAATTGTAAAGCAATTGATTTTTCATTTTTGCTTGTGTTAATGTGGTTTGATCAGACCCTCATTCTAGATTATATTTGCACATTTATGTTAAGAAGAATACGTGTTAGAAGGAGTCAATCCATAATGGCCCGAAAAGTCAATTTAGTGGATTGTTTCAGCTAATCTCCTAGACGCAGAGTTCCATTTATCTAAGCAGTAATCTACTATAATAACAGCATTCTAATTATACTCACCGTCGATTAACATGAATCATTAACAGTATTAGCTAATTAATCAAAATAATTGACTTAATCTAGGTCGAGCAACATGTTGAACACCACAAAGATGTACCCATCGCCATTAATCAATACTCATATTATTGAAAAGATAACATGGTGGTTGTCTTGAGGAGAAAAATGAATGGAGATTATTTAACTTCTAGATCAGGCTTTGATGTGATTAAGGTCACTTTATGCCCCAATTTGTTTAAATCTTCGCAGGACATGGAAGCAGAGGTGAACATTCACTATGGCGAGCTGATCAAGGGGAAGTCACATGACCAGCTGTTAACTAATCAGATTCAGAGGATGTTGATGTGCTTTGACCTGTTCCTGGAGACAGAAGCTGGTAATGAGGCCATGGAGGGCCCAGCGGAATTCCCCAAGGAGAAGATTTGTCCAAGGATGACAAGGTAAATAGATATAGTGCTTGCTTTAATCTAAGGCTTCGTTCACATGCAATGTCTATTTTCTATTTTCTATTTTCTATTTTCGGTATGTCTTATGATCACGGTCTGTGCACTGAATATCCCGCGGCGTAATTACTGGCAGCGCGAGCCAGTTACTATAAGTTACTATAAGTAACTGGCTCGCGCTGCCAGTAATTACGCGGCGGGATATTCAGTGCACAGACCGTGATCATAAGACATACCGAAAATAGAAAATAGAAAATAGACATTGCATGTGAACGAAGCCTAAGGCACTTTTTGTTTCTCAGAAAAATATTGCAGGCACCATCGCTCTCTCTTATGAACTAGGATTCCTTCGAAGAGAAAACAAGTTCTTAAGTTTTGTCCATGTGGACATTGCCACCTGTTATAGTTGCCATCCAAAACATTTGTTCACCCTTTTTTTGTTTTTTGTCATACTTTTATTTGGTAAAAATATCAAGTTAAAAAAACCAGCACATTGCATTTTTTGTGTGGGCATTCAATTTCATTTTGAAGATAGGGAGACCATCAGGGAATTAGTGGCATCACTTTTTAAATGGGGTCGGCCATATTTAGTCAGCAGATCAGTTAGTCCTTGGATCATCTGTTCTGAATGCGCTCTAAGTGAAAAGTTTTTACCAGAATTATTGCCGTTGTATATTTTGCATACATTTTGTTTTAGCTCTCCTGATAACCCCAAAGCTATATATTTTATAAATAAAACCTCATGTTAATTTTTAAATAAAATTATAAAAATATTAGGTTCAGGAATCGATATTGGACAATGTGAAGTAATCTATTGCTTTTTTTTCTTTCTCAGCATGTGCCCACATCCTACTACAGTGATTGTCTCACCCAGTCATTTTCTTTAACACAAGAAATCCTTTTGTCATAAAATCTCACCCCTTCCTCTAACACAGTGGATTGCTTTAGCGGATGTGTTGGTGTGAAATTGATAACCATCATCAGTGTGTGTGTGTGTGTGTGTGTGTGTGTGTGTGTGTGTGTGTGTGTAATGGTTAGATGTGAAGAAAAACATTTCATAGCTTATGAATAATCCAATTGAATTGTATAAATTTTACCCTAAACTTCCTTGTGGTATTTATTCTGGCACATAGAAATTGTAACATATAAGAAGAGGAAGCCCAAAAAATTCTCAATTGAAGCATATGGGAGGTTAAGCAAAAGTATAATAGAGAAATTGATAAAAAGGTTTCCTGTAAACTTTCCTAAAATTAAATTCACAAATATGATCATTCTTATTCACCTTTAGTAGCATCTGAGATATATGTAATTAAAAGTCATATTATTATTATTATTATTATTATTATTATTATTATTATTATTATTATTATTATTATATCTCTATACATTTTCACCAGGTCAGCTTGATGTAAAAGTATGAAAGGAATATAACTTATTTAGTAATTTATTGATAAAAAAATTCCTTACTACAGTATATGGTTGTCACAGTAGCAACATATTGTTTAAGGGAATATGCTAGAAAATGTCCCACTGCCATTTTTTAAGTGGACAATAAATCTTTTGGAGGAAGATGAACACATGATCCTGTCAGAATTTATTTTTTCTTTGCTTTACAGCATGTTCCTTTTCATGTGGGAGTATATTTTATGTTTTTGTAATAACAGCAGTGTAGTGGTAATAGAGCACTAGATTATTGAAACCCTCAGAAATTCCATTCAGATGTTTTTTTTATTATTTTCAAGCAGGTAAACTGCTTCTTAAGATTTCCCTGAAATGTGTCTTTTTAGATTAAATAGTGGTAGATCCAAATAATCTTTTTTTTTTTTTGCAACAACCAAACTTGTGTCATATCAGCCTGATCTTCTCACCCTGACAGAAGTAATTGCTGTTTTAAGGTACATTGGTTATCTAAGTTCTGCTCAGATACACAGAAATGACGCTCTTTGTCATCAAGGAAGATGAATGTTTTGGGTCTGTTACAGACAGACATAGAAAGTACCATCATCACACTGTAAGAAATAACACTAGATGAATGTCATGATCTCTAATTGAAGATAAAACAGAAGTAGCTTCTATCCTTATTATTTTGACCATGTTGCTTTAAGGGGGAAGAGACCTCATCTTCTAAAATATGGAACCTTTTTTTTTATTTGATTTAACCACCAAGTGTCAGCTGTCATATTGAGGTATTGGAGAATATGCTCTCTTCTTTTTCATTAATTGTTTTTTCAACCTTCTTGGTCATTGTCTTTATATTCGTGACATGGCAATAGAGAGTTAACCAGAACATGACCATATTTTTAAAAGATGCATACAAAGTCAATTTTTTGCCACAAAACGGACAAAATACCAGCATATAGTTTCAAATAGTATAACTAAGAGAATCACCAAAAGGCATTGTTTAATTTTACCCGAAAATGATGCTTGAACGGATTTTTCTGCAGCATTCTATGCTGTATGTCATTGGGGCAGAAAAGTAGGTCACAAAAGTAGGTTAAATTTCTGACCAAAAATTTATAGAAAGGAGCAGTCTGAACCTCTTTTATGACTGATCGAGTGATCTATTCAGTTTATCCCTTGGCATGTCGATTTTATTTGAGTCGTATAAGAAACTAGTAGAAGTGGTTTACATGTGTTACTGGGAATCCACACTCCACCGATGCTCGGTTCGTATGTACCTTAAAACATTTGATCATAAGCCTCACAAGTGAATCCATGTAACCGCCATTACTACCTGGAGGAGTTACATCTTTTATGTATTATTGAATACGTTTGAATACTTCACATCACCGATCACAACAAAGATACAACTTACATGTCTTACTCCCAGCATGGCTACCGAGGTAGTCTCTCATTAACCTAATTGAGTGTCAACTTCCCTTGAGATTTTTGTTGATGGAATCACTTCAGCGGGTGGCAAAATGAAAACAGACCCGCACCCGGTGACCTTAATGATCATTCAAAGGAAGAAACGCAGATGCTTTTTAATAGTTTGATGCAATTTATTATCTAAATATTTCACTGGCCACATAAGTTAAATACTGTTCTAATTTTCAGCTGGAAGATTAGGCATGCTTAGTTATCTGATTACAGCATTGCATGGACGTCCTCCGTATTTACTCAAATGCTATTTTATTCTAAATTGCAGATTATTCTGAATTTTAGATAGAAAGTTGCATCATTCAAGTTAGGATTATACCACAGAATATATAGCTAAGCCCATAGAGATAAAAGCAAAAGGCATTGTTTAAATGGGACTTACAGCTAAACATTTCATAACACTCCCTGTGTACATATCATATCTATTTATTATTGTTTGTATGGCCTTCAGACTTTAAGCATTAATTTGATTATTTGTTATTTTCACAGGGGACCTATTAGAAGCAAACCATACAAATACCTGCCTCAGATGGGAATTTTCACCCAACGATAAGTGAGTATCATTTCTGATGATATTTTTATAACATTTAAAAAAGAAAATATTACATAGTTCATGTGGGAAGAATCAATTTGGTTAAAAGTCTAATCAATGGAATTTCCTCCCAAGTGATTTCGATCTTACTTTGTGTAACAGATCAAAAAATGCATTTTTAGTGCATGAAAATTGGCAGATTTTTAATCTGAAATATCTATCTACAAAAATGGCATTTTATAAGAATTAACTAGATAAATATTTTAAAATTTTACTTTTGCTATGGGATAAAGGGTAACTTTAATTACAATAAGGAAGTGTGCATTTGCACAATGGAGAGTGATAACATTTTAATGCAAATGTGTTATCTTAGAAAAGTTGCTGGGATATTTATTCCTTATACAGGTGCCAAGAAAATTGGGTGCAGGTATTTTTTTTCTTGCATTCTATTTGCAGATAGGATCTCAATTTCCCAACAGAGACTTTTATTCCCAAAGCCCTCCAATGACAATGCTAATAATTGAATATGTTCATGTTTTCCAAATAGTTAATCGAACATGCAACTCTTGCTCATATTTGTGTCTCCAATTTTGATTACATTCATAAAAAAACTAATATTTCCTTCATGCATCACCCAAACATGAAATTAGAAATATGAAACAACTTTGTAAGCTTAGCTTTATGAACAATGTTATTAGATAGCAGCCGGCAGATAGAACATTTTTTTCAAATAAGTAGTACAGTAAACCAAATTGTATTGATCTGCTATTGACCTTTGCTTATTAATATTAATATTAATGTTATTTCATTTGTGAAAGCCTTTTTCCCAAGGTGATGATATGGACTATCATGATTGAATATTTTCGTGTTTACTTCAGCACTAATGGGGCATGCAACTCTTGCTCGTATTTGTACTTCCTGCATTAGACACATGTTCCTGAAAACAAAACAAAAACCCTATAAAGTTGTGAAAAAAGGCTCCCTTGATAAGACAGGGGAATAATTTGCAAAAAAAACATGTGCTTCTGAAAGATACATCTCTACAGTTTCTCATGGGTGGCACTCTGACCTGCTACTCATGTGTTTGTATTGTATCGCCATATTACACCTGCTCATTTTGTTATTGTGTTTTATTTCAGGTAGATAAGTACTCCACGATGTTCTTCAGGATTAGCTAGGCCAAGAGGCAGTAACATTCTAATTTGATGGTGGTTTAGGCTCTAGGGGGTACTCGGCAGGAAATTAATGCTCTGGTAGTTTTTACAAGCACTGAATTGCTTGTGAACGGTGTATATAAACCCTGTGATTCTAATATTGACCCTTGCAATAATCTAGGATCCTCCCTTGGTGGGTCTTGGGAATAATGTAGAGACATAGGAGAGAATTGGCGGCCATTCACATGTATGATGTTTTCTACCACTGGCCAGCTGAGGGATGGCAAACCGGTGCCAAAAAATCCTAGCTGGTCACAGGATAGAGACATGCCGGCTGGTAAATAGCCAGAAAAATATCTGCCAATATCTGGTGAAAAAAATCCACTCTGTGACTCTGGTAGATGGTACCTATTGCGCCAAAACATGTATGATTTTAAAATAGGTATGTTTCTGATGTGAATTAAACTGATAACTACTAAATAAAATTAAGCTTTCTTCATATTTATAAGTGGTTATTATAGATTAATTTATATAGTAAGTAAGTATGTTTGAATTTTTTAGTAAACAAATTCAAAATGTACTGCTTTCCTTTTTTGGTAATCACCAAACATACCTATTTTGCCTAGCACTGCCACGTGTACTATAGATGTCTTTTTGTTAGATATATAGGATTGTAGATGTCACCGTGGGAGGTGTAAGGCATGACCACGTGACACATTCTCAAGTATTACAAGATCTAAGAATGTTTATAATTATGCCAGAAACAGGATAAGTTGTGGTTTTGCACCCCAGTGGCTTTTTTGAAAAGTACTTTTGTCATACTTGAGCTTGTTGAGTGTACTTTTCTGTTTTTAAACATCTCCGCAATCTCTGACTGAACGTTGCTAATAAGAACAAAACCGCTACGTAATCAATACAGCAAAACAAGAACACCTCAAAAGGCATTACAAAGGTTACTGGTTTGTCTGACGCCTAGAAATGTCTCTGTATAGCAGAAACTTGTATAACTATTACAAGAATTGGATGAGTCAATTATCTTTATATGAAAATGATGCTGATTTAGTTTTATTAAGTTCAGCCATTGACTATACATGTTTTAGAAATTAAATGAGAACTTTAACTTAAAACGTCAAAGGGCGTTGATTGGTGTTATTTACTTTTTTATTCAGATATGTGTATTGTGTTCCAAAAAAAAAACGACAACTTGGAGAGTATGAAAAGTGCAGTGACTTATGCACCAAGTTGTAAATTGTTTAAAAAAAATTGAAGAAAAACGAAGCTGTATTATGCTTTTTTTGCATTAAGTTGGGACGTTTCTGTGATCTACGCGAAGAGTACTTTATTAAAGGGTTCATTTACTCCAAATAGCAGCTTTGATGAGCTTCGCCTAAAGTTAAAAAAAGGTCATTCTTTTGTATTAACGAATGATTTTTTTGAGGTCGGCGTATCACGAACTACCGAAACCATATCACGGAAAATATATTGGTCTTCTTCTACGAGGAGAAAGCATGTGGGTATCTTTTATGGGTTATGTGGTTTCATTCTCTCCCTTTTTTGTAAAACTACAAAAGTTTTACTCAAAGTGCATTCTATGATGCCCTATTTCTCTTCTTTGTGAATATGTAATGAAAAGTAACGTGCCCAACCCTCTGAAAAGACGAATATAAAATCACTTCAGTAGAGGCGTTGCAGTAGTCCGTGAAGAATAGCGTACAGGATACCCCTTGTATAATTAATATTTTATATCTGTTATCCAATTTCCCTCATGTTCAATTAGTGTTTTTCGCAAGTAAAGATGTTACAAGCTAAGGCGTCCTTTTCTTAAATTTCACTGGAAATTAAGTACTTGAACTGGGAACCACACAACCATTCACTATAAATGAACTTAAATGCTTAAATCAGCATTTGTAAAGACCGACAGGTAACACGGGTGTTTGATAAAACTGAAAATTTTGAAATTGTCGCCATTCCCAGACTGAATGCATAAAAGACTCCCAAGTGATGATGTTTTATACTTTTTATAGTTGAGAAAATTGGATTGATGAGATACGGCACTAGGAATTCTACTGAAAAAAGTTAACGTCAAAAATGGGTGGGTGAAATGTTTGTGCTGGAGCTTAGCCTAACGATGAAACGGAAGGATTTCAAAGTCGTATTCAAGTCTCAATGCAAAGGCGAGCTTTGTGAAGGAACCGCTAACCTAAGCCATTATCCTTGCTCTAGTTCGAAACGTGGACATAGCTCGTCAGTCCATTGAAGCTCAGGAATCCCAAAATGGCTTTTCTAGCTCCATTTTCACAATGGACTTTGGTAGCTGGAATGATCAAAGTATCTTTACATGTAACGCATTAAAAGCATTTTTCCGGATCCGGTCGACAAGATCATTCGATATGGATGAGGGGGTTGGACACTTTAATTACAAGGCGACGGCTGCTTTTTGTGCTCTGTGTCAGAAACTTTCAATGATCTAGGTTTCAAGTAAAATTTAGATGTTTTATCTTGAAAGATATTATATATTATAAGCACCATTACCTTTGAGCATTGGAAAAGCATGTGAACATAGGTGCGGTAAATGCAGTTGCCGCAATTTTTTTTCCAAGCGTACGTGTATTGAATAAAATTGGTGTAATTGGAGATTTGTAAATTTACCACTCCCTGAAATTCTTTTTTTTTCCATTATGAATATGTGTCAATAATACAGTTGAAACAGAATCTCTTTGGAAAAAGAGCCCCCAAGCATATGACTCGTTTATACGGAAAGGAGTCGAATACAAAGTGCTGTGCATTTATGTGGTGTAGAACTGATGCTGACGTCTGCTCATTTGTCCTTCAGTTATACCTTAGACTACATTTCCCCTTGATTACTTTCTATCTTCTTCGTCTTCTTTATTAAATTCCTAAGTAAGTTAAGTGATATCGAAATGTTGTTACTATATTTTTGAGGAAGGCATTTTGTAAAAGACATTTTCCAAAAAGACAATCCTTAGACGTCGTGATGGTAGCTAAATGAAGACGAAAAGTTTCTCGTTCCAATACACGTGGTTTTGGTTTGAGCTGAATGAAATAGAACGAAAAGAACTATTTATTGAGTGTCTTATCTGCAACATGAACGGCAGTTTCAAAACAAGTGCCTTCCTTGTCTTGCTGTTTTGCATTTGAACCAAAGCATTTTGCCAGGTTTGGCAAACGATTAGATTTGAACAAATCGATTTTTTTCGCCTTTTACATAAAGTTTATCTCCCAGGATATGGGCAAGGATAGACTACAGTAGATTCACGATCTAATTTTGGGTAGGAAGACTCAATGATAAAACGTTGAACCAGGTTCAGGAGATGTCTACAACTGCATCTATTTAAAAGAAAAGACAAATCTATATCTAGTCCACACGGGTGCTATATACCTTATGAGTCCAAGAGACATTTTAGATAGTATGTTAGACATAATACGTATTATATATTATTTTGTCAGCGGTATCGAAATATAGTATTATTTTAAAAAAATATACTTCATAAAATTCAAATTTCCCTATTTCAAAAATGTTAACATTAGGGTCAGATGCACTGCAAATTCGACAAATTCAGGTATATCTTTTTGAATGAGGGAGGTCTTTTGTTCCCTCCTCCGCCTTTTTATTATCCTAGATGTACCGGCGTCTATGCCAGACGTATAGAAACATAGATTCCGCTGACAATGGGCACGAAAAAAAACTGTTTTATGATGTTGGAAGCATTGCTCATTTCAACATAGATCTAGCGCTATCGGTATTTGCACGGAATCTTTAAATTACTACAATACGAGTCAAATGGCTCTTGTGAATTTTCGTGTTCTTTTCAGTCTAAAAGGAAAAATTGTGCCATTTATTTTGGATTTTTTACGTTCACTTTGCTTTAACCAAATTTAGGTTACCGTTCTTGTCTTCAGGCTTTTTACTTCCATTAAAAACAATAGTTTCTTAACAAGACAAAATGATTAAACCTGTCCTTCATACTCATGGATCATCGGGAAATAAAAGGCTTATGGACAACACACATAAAATGGTTCTTGAAGTCTGTGCTCTTGTCTTTCTGCACGACAATTGTGACTAAGTAAATACTGTATACTTCCCAAAACTATTCAACCAGAGATCATGCATGATCTTTTTAATCCTACTTAAGAATGTATGCCCCACTCCTACAATGAACCTTAAATAAGAAACCATTCCACAGATATTTAGATCGATCTATCCCCCTGGGGAGTCTCACTAGATTGCTGTCAGCTTAACCGGCTTAAATGTCTGTCCCGCCTACTTACAGCTGTAAGGGGGTAATTAACTTTTGTGCGCGCTCGGCTCCCGGAAGCTGACAGCAATTTAGAGTAAACCCCCAGGGAGTTAGGTCGATCCAGATGGATCGATCTAAATCTGAGGGAACCCAGTCTAAGATACAGTTTAAACTTGGTGAATTCATGGTTTAAAGGAGTTTGAAGCTAAAAGTTTGTATTCGCCAATTCGAAACTTATACAATAGTATAGAGTTTGAAGGCTACGTTCTGTGTCACACGCTTTGTTTTTACAAAAACCACATGTCAAACTATTATGGCTAGCTGTCCATTCACTTTTACGCGGGGGCCTTTTTGTGCAGACTGCATTGACTATTAAACTACGGGTTAAACTGAAAAAAATTAAAATGATAGATGCTGTTTAAACACCCAGAATTCTGTCATAGTTGATCGTAAGGATCGTAATTTGGTTAATTTTCATAGAGAGACAGTATGCGTAGGCCTATTGTTTGTCAGTTTTCCGTGTGTGTGCCTTTATCAAATGCAATACGGTTCGAACGTGTATCTTGTCGAAATGTTTAGACGATGTTTTGTTTAGAAATATGAATCGATAAAATGCACTTTCAAAGACCAAACCAATAAGGTAACTTTGTATAGGTGACAAATTGCATAAATTGGTGTTTTCATAGAAAAGAAATAATGAAATACTAAAAGTAGAATTGAGGTCTGATGTTATTTGGCATAGCTGCCAGTAGCAAAAAAGTTTGTTTTCTACGATATCCCAGTGGGATGTTTTCAAAGGTTGTTTTCGGTTCGCCAATTACATTAGGATCTAATCACAGCGCAAGGGACACGAAAGTCGTTGAATCTGGCGTTGCCTCATTTATGTTCGATACTAGATTTGTGCGAACCTGAGAAGTGATTGGTAGTTCGAATTAAGACAATCGCTAAACACATTATTTCCTTCATATTTTTTTAAAGCGTACCTAAGGCACAAGCGATTTACTAAAAAATTTGAGTTTCAGGAAATTAAATGAAACTGAAGTATCTGCATGAGTGTTTTAACGACACCAACAGTGCTTTGGGACTTGATTTACCTTTTTTTTTTCAAAAGGTAGCATTGTTCAAATGAGAGCTCGAGGTTTGAGGGAAGCTTCAATTTGGTTGTAGTGGACACAGCCCATATTGTGGTAGCTGTATGAGTAAAAATCTTCAACCTTCGCAAATACAAAATTAAGGTATTCAATATGAGCTTTTTTAATTATTATTTCTCCTGGAGTCGAACTTGTGATGACGACGAACACATCTGATTTTGGACCTGTTTTCACTTTAACTACAAAAACCGATATGATAATGACTTCCGTGCTTTACATATTGCATGATAATCATCATTTTTAACATATGGTCTGTATGTTATATGGAAAATTTACCCTTTTCATAACTTCATAAAATCTCTATTGCTTATGAAATCGAGTTGTGTTAAAATTGCAGTTAAACACGAATGTTTTAGAGCAATACCACTTTTCCCATATAATAATATCTCAAATAAATGTGCTGCTAAATGATTCTCTCAGTTTATTATGGAACAATGAGAGATTGTGAAATACAAGACCGTAAGACTATGGAAAAGGAATAAATGGAAAGTTTTCCAAGTTTATTCCAAATAATGGACGATACGCCAAGGAGCCGACATGCTTGTCACGATCTCATTTCAGGGAAACAATTTATATGTTCATAAAATATACTGCTTTAATGCTTCTTTTGTTTTCAAAATAAATAATTTTCAGTCTCTAGCTATGCCTCAACTATATATATAATATATGTTCATTCACAAAACTACCATATATAATCTGCTTGGCGAGACAGCACATTTTTCAAAATATTTCCTCTTCACGTTGGTTTAGTCCTAGCGCATGCCAGTTAGCAAGTAGGCCTATAGTGAAAAATATAAGATGTATGGGGTGCTCATTTTCCCATTTGATAAAATAGAAAACAAAAAGTACAACTATAATTCCACTCTTGCTGGTGTGGTGTAGGAAATGGCATGCATTCTGTCATTAAGCTTTCCTGTTCTTAACGATCTTAAAGAAGTGTGTAAGTGAAAAAGCTATCAAAACCCATGTGCAAATGTCTTTATTTCATTATTTCCGAAAGTCTAATTTTCTTTACTTCACTAAATGAATTTGCTAGAGACAGAAGTTCAAATCATATAATCATTTTGCATTCAGTGCGAACTTGATTGCTGTGAATCCTGAAATCCTGAAAGTGTCGAATTTCCATCTTCCGATTGTCTTCTCCTCATCCAACATATCTCAAAGATGAACTTCTATCAGTAACTCTGCCACCTGTTATCAGTATTGTCCATATTATCTTCTTGGTTATAGAATGCCTGTGCTTGCTCGCGTGGCATTATAACGTATTTTCTGAGGAACCATTCGGCGGGTGAAGGGAATTGGCTCCCCTCCAGCTGAAAAAGGAGCAGATTATTAATAATGGGGAGATAATCGGTATTTGATATATATAAGTCTTTCCCCACATCCTTAAGAGACTTTACTGCAATACGCTAGTTTACTTTCTCTTACAATATGAAAGTCAAAGAAAAATATGAAAAAAAATGAAAGAAAAGATTTTAGTCTACCACATAACTTTGTTAAAAATCTCTAACGGGTGTCTCTTTTATGAAAATATTTATACGCTGTATCTTGATTATAGCTCTAATTCCATGAAAAAAGTGACAATACACTTCAAGCTGAAACAGTACTACAGGCGTAGTGCTACAAATGACAATATCCAGAGATAGACAGAAATTGGAGATGGCGTGTCTTTCTTTCAGTAAAGGATAGTCAAATTTAGTTGACGTTTGACGCTAATGAATGTAAAATGGCCTTCTCGTGTTTCTGTTGGTATTACAAATACAATCAAGCATGCGACGCTCCCCGCCTAATCGATTGGAGGTATATGCTTGCTTTCAAACTCCTACTTTGCCGACATGTCTAAGGGAATAGATTCGATAAATTCCATTTCACTCGTGCTTTAATCAAGCATTGTTCTCCAATCAGTTTATAGTTTTATGTTTAACGGGGTTTTGGATTTCATATGAGGTTTTTGACGTTAATTGGTATTTATTTGTCCAATCTTACGCCATTTGCGTAGAATAGAATAACTAATAAACATGATGATGCTTTTTTCGGCCAAGGAATGTTTTGATTTGCTTTACAATGCTTTTTTACCAGTCTTGAAAACCAATGAAGTTATCCTGTCCTATTATCAACATTGCCTTCAAAACATATCAAAATTATATCTTGAACAGTTTTTCATAACACTGATAGGCTGGGATTAGACGATAAGAATTTCAAAGTGATTGGCAAAAGAAGGCATTGCATTTAACTTTCTTTGGACAATGTTCTATGCGTTTTTCAATTATACAGCTATAAAACAAGCAAGACTGGGAGCTTCCAATATTAATATCTATCTTTTTATTATTACTTCAGTAAGTAAAATTATCGGTGGGGACTGCTATGTATGGAATACATCGAACATTCAATGTCAGTTGGGGAAATGAGCAGAGTCATAACCGAACTTTTTGTAATTAATGTTCGTCGTAGGTGGCAGCTTTATATAAGAAGTAAGACCTTTGTGAGAAGTTTATTATCCAATCGACGAAGCTATTTCCGTGGCTTAGTCAAGACCGCGGTTTTACAAAAAACAGTTTCTTATTTTCTGCCAGTTTCAAATTGTGTTGCCCAACCTACATAAATACGCAAACAGGCGTTCTAATCTGTGGACGCGATTCACCTTAGAATTTCATCATTACGTATGCCAGGAATGTCTTCTCAAACGCCTACAACAAATAACGCTAGCTGTCTGCCCTTTCACAAAAAGCAAAACTTTATTCTATTGTACTGTTCAGTCCAAAAGGCTGCAATATTGAGCACGTGTAATTTGGCGATGGTTTATCTAACCCGTCTGTAATACGTGTAATACGTGCAAACAAAAACATTTAAAAACTGAATGCAATTCACAAATCGTCAAATATTGGTAAAGGCACACAGCGTGATGCACTAAGGCACAACGCAATTGGAATAGTGTAAATATTGGTAACCGAATTGAACTTTATCTGTTGAACATGTTTGAAATGTTAAAATATGTGGACTATTGAATCTTGTTTCATCGATTTTTAATATCTCATGAATAAAAAATGATATTGTAATTAGCATAAATAATTAGTTGAGGAAAGTCAAAACTCAGTCATTATTATTTACTCTTTGCCAAAACGCGCTTCGACATTTGAAGCGTACTTTTGACATTTATTTAAACATATTTTGGCGTGTAAATATGGCATGTTATCTTGGAGAAACTAACGGATTTTGATCCGTGACGAAAGTTGTTCTTTTCGTGCTTTTTACAATTGCCACGCTATGTGGACTTTCCATGTTCGCTGACTTTTTGTTCTGTTTGTTTTCTGTCTTTTAGTGGACGGATTGCATGGGATCGCTTTTTGCCGTGCTCTTAATCTCGTAGTAGAAACCTTCTGATTAAAATCTTTCTCTCCGACCAACCAAAATAATGGTTTCTGCCAATCACTTAACTTAATTAGTCACGAAACGTGAGCAGCGCTCGGATTGAGATTGAATTTAAATTTCACATGATCTATCCACCGCCTAATATAATCATATCTAACCTAGCGGACGTCAGGTGTCTCAAAACGATCTCATTCAGGAAACGGTCTAATTTCTCAACGGATATAAAGCACAATGGCAAAAGTTTATATTGTATAGAACCCAGACTTCAAAGGTCTATTCAATGCAAATATAGGCTAAATGCAATTGGGCAAGGAAATCGAGACGTTTAGCATAGCGAGCCGTAAACGTACGGAACAACAGTTCGCTTGAGTATTACTTGTGATTTAAATAGTTACCAAAACACTAAGCACCGGTACAGAACATAAATTATAAAATAACCCCGATAGCCCCTTAGGTAATAGAATATTCGCAAACTATTAAAGATTTATGCCATGTCAATACAGATTAATGTCGATTCAGCCACAATTCTTGCCAACAAACATGCAATCTTCATTGTGGGCTGATGTTCTAAATAATATTACGCCTTCCATTGGATAACTGTAACCAAGCATTACAAGAGTACCATTAAACTACAATAATGAAATCCCCAAGGCCTCCTGATTTTAACTTGCCACTTTATTCTGCTCTAGCAGTAGCATTTCCTGTCCTTTGAGATCTCTCGTATATTTATCTCTATTTACGTTGTAATTGATAGGTATAATCTAAGAGGATAATCTCACTGTGCATTGTCTAAACCACCATATTAGCTCAAACACTTAGGAGCGTCGATGGCGACTGGTAGAAAGCTCAGTATGATGAGGTTTCTTACGTAAAATAAAGGATGTCCATAAAACCGACAGTGCGTGTGGAAGTTGGTCGTTATGCAACTATTGTGCAAAGGAAACGTTGGCTTTCATCCTGTTTTTGTCTTATCAAACATGATTGGGTCAGGGATTGTAAAGGAAGCCAATCGAGTCAAATGTTAAACCAAGAAATGTATATCTTGCATCCTGTTTTCCTTGCTGAACATGACAAAGGACAAGCAGATCTTAGATCGTTTAAAAAATAGGGACTCTCATTGTCAGAAAAGATGTAATTGTTAATTTGGTTTTACAGCGTTCTTTAATCATTAAGCTTTAAAAAATTTGATTCACATGCCAACATGCTACACAGTGATAAATCAATTAGAACGAATCACAAATTGACGATAAGAGCAATATTTACTGTTCTACAATAATCTGATTGTGTCATTTCGAAAAAGTGGAATCGTCTTCAGGATCAAGTAAGACTGCATGTGTTATCTTTTATTGTGAGCCTGAGCCTCATTACCGTTTAACATTTCTAATGAATGCGTTTTGGAAATGTTTATATATTTATGTATAGTTTATATATTACGAATACATACCACGTTAAGAACATGACAAAGAAAGTGAGTTTGCATCACACTGACAAATTATTTTCTTCTTAACAAGAAAAATAGACCTATTCCTAGATGCATTTTTGTTAAATCGTAAAAGATAGCGCATAATGAGTATCATGACAATTCTACCATTGGATAACAAGGAGGAGATGGAGATTGAGCATTGTGAACAAGAATCCACGAGAGAATCCTAATAAAAATTAAGAAACATCTTTTTCATTCAGACTATTTTGCTTTGTTTCTGTTAATTAGCAGATCCAGACGAATTTTTCACACCCCACTGTCGTATTCAGAAATGAAACCGGAATGGATAATGAAACCCGTTGTCGAGGACAGAGAAACTGCTAAATGACTTTATATTAACGATATGAATCTCAAAAAATCTTATCACAAATCACAAAACATACTGGCATAATAGCTAGAGAACATATATATGTAATTTTTGTAATCTTTTCTCCATATCTTGACATAGGCGACATTAAACATCAGGTGTTCTTGTGATTATTTTCTCCCACGAATCATCTATCAAATACCTGCACTCGTAAGTGAATGGATTTATTGCACACATCGCGTACGCTGGGACTCTTTGCCTAAGACAGCTATTTCCTGAGTAAGACACAGTGTGATGCATCGTAAAGTGAATAAATGAGAACACGTTACTTTGATGCCAACGCCGTTGGCAAAATTGTCAATTTTCTTGTTTCCTGCATAGAATAATAATATTTCCTTTGATTTGTTCAAAGGTAAGCGAACAATTCTTCAGCAATACAAGTTACGATCTTTATCATTTCCGCTTAAATTAAGACAACGCGGTTAATAAAATTGACCATACGTAATGCCTGTGTGTTTTCATTCTAGCTTATAAAAATTTGTTTGTGGACAAAATTGTGAAGATAGCGTGGATGTCTGGCTTCTAAATGATTTCTTGCGTGACATGATATCATCTTCAAAACAGAATTAACCATGATCTCCTAACAATTTTGATACAGACCGTGATGCGAGTTGAATGTCACTTGACGACTAGATGTATACCGGAAATTCTTATGATTGGCGCTTTGTACGTTTTGAATAAGGTCAAGTCAACATGAAATATTTAAACATAAATATGTATATATAAATTTCTAGATTATTTTACCTGCGACACCGCCATCCTGTCTTTGAACGCTTGTAATCGGTCTAAGGAAGAGGGAGCATCGCCTGACCGTTTCCCAATAAATTCTGGCATCCACGATGAATACTTTCTCCTAAAAACCTGCAAAAAACCAAAAACAATATTTCATCATTGCGCCATTGTTACGTAGCTTCATTGTTGAGGCCTGCACATTTTAGCTACTGCTTCTCCATTTAATTTTGGTACAAAGAAGTGATGTTTCGCCATGAGAAAAAAAAGCAAACTTTGAAAGAACAGGACAGAAAGAAACAAATTATCTCACAACGGCTATTCCATGTACAAATCGGGGTTGATGTCCTATTTTTTAGTGCCTTGAGTCACTATACAAAATGCTTTGAAATTGGTACAATGTTCTCCGGAGTTTTTTTTTACATTTATGTCTACAATCTCGTTTGAACGGTTTCATATCTCGTTACTAAACAAAACCCATTTCGTCAACACGTTTTCTGTGACAATCTCGTAAGCAAAATTCATTGGTACATCAAACAGAGTAGTTCATCTGCTATTCAAATGACAAGATCAATTATTGTGACGGATAGGATGTGTTCGAAATGAATTCTTCAACGGTTATTCATACCGAATAGCATGAAAATCACGCCATGCAGTCTCTTCTTATCAACCCATTACTTGATCTTAGACAAAGCCTAATCGAGATACTTGACCTCGCGAGCGAGTATTGATGAGAAACTGAAAGCAGATGGACATTAGCATGGAAACAAGATAACGCGTCTTGCTGCGATCTAATGAGGCGACGGTTTAGGAATAAGGCGCGGTGCCAACTTCCTAGTACAATTCGTTTCACCTGGAACTCTTGGCATAGCTCATCAGCACAGCGTCGTTTTCCTACGAATTCAGGGACGTACTTGAAACAGTTTCTCCCGCAGTCCCCCGGAGGTACCATAGACAAATAGAACAGCAGTGGGAAACCATGCATCTTCACCAACGTCCGAACCATAGAACTGCCCCGGAGCAGGATCACAGATGATTTTAAGTGAATTTGATGGATTAAAACTCATTCTCCAAACACCCGTTTCCACACCGGTTGCCGTCTTTCCGTTACCCGGACCAAGCCATATCGGTTTTCTAATAGCAAATTAGCATACGATTGTTTTAAAAACGATTTCTAATGCATCATTTGGGATCCATGTTATTCTTTGGTGTTTGACAAATATTACCATTAACGTCATTTTTCGTATCACGTATCGGAAAGTATGTTACAAACACAATAAGTCTACGCATACGATTATGCGACTTCATTACACAGTTAACTAACATCGGCTTCTTGTGTTAAATTATGATTTACATATTGTTTGATGAGAGGGGGCGGAAAAAAGGACAGGTGATAAATCTCCGTCGACTAACACCACGACCGTCAGTGCATTCTGTAATGCTTTGTCTTAGATATCATCTTAACTTTACTGTGGGCTCTTCATAACTACTTTTCAACTTTGTTTACATTTGGCTTTATCTAGTTTGACTGATCAATGCAGGGTCGGGTTTCATGGATAAGCTGCTGTTATACCGAGGCAAATGACAAGGAAGAGACAATATTTGATTTGGTCATTAAACAATACTTTCTACTGACAACAGCAATGGTTCGTTGGAATGAATACAGTGTCTTGACAAAATGTTAAAAAAATAAATAAATAAACAAATAGATAAATAGAAAATAAATCTGTACCATACATTTTGATTTGTTCTCATTAAATGCGCCTACTGTAAAAATAAAAATGAAATCTAAATAAAGAATGGATCCAATTTATAGAAAAAGTAGTGCAAATCCCACAAACACTCAGATACAATTTAGAATCAATCTCTCATAACAATCAGATTTTAATTAATAAAACTGTTACATTTTTTGAATTCAAGTCTTAAATATTCCATCCTTCTGCAATCCGTAGCAAGCCCAAAGTGGGTGTTAGCACTGTAATACTTTAACGCGGCTGTCTATCTTTTTTTTATATAAATGCACCACCTTAGGGCAACTCAATGCACAAACTGATCATGATATGTCCCAAATGTCAAGTTAATGTGCCTAATTAATAAATTGATCGGCGCGTATTTGATACATTGAATGCGTGACTGCATTAGCCTGAGCCTAATGTGATCCAAAGAGCACTGTTAATTACCTCGGTCGTTCATTTGGAGAATCGAGTCTCTTGAAGGAAACTGCCATCGAAATGGATTTTTAAAGGTTCGTTTTACAACTCTACAAATGCCCGCTATTTTGAGTTGCCTTTTTTCCCCCGATTTCGATTCTTGTTCTCAGCAGATTGTAACTGTGTCTTGAGTACTTAAAGGATATCCTGTTTTAAGTGCCCTATAGTACGTTTATTTAATGGTACCAAGTACAAATAAGCGATTAGTGAAAAAAAGGTAATGTAACGAAAGAGCTGTGATAAATGCAAAGTAAATACAATCCAAGAAGCCATTACATATTTATTGAGATGTCTTAATCACTATATTGATAGATATCCCCAATAGGCAAGCAAAGTAACTTTTGCGAAATTTCAAATCTACTATCACAGATCGCTTTACCTACAAATACTACTATACTATACCTGGTAATTGTCTGGTGGTTGCTGTCTGAGATTGTGTAGTTTTAATCCAGCGCGCTTCCCAATAAATTCTGGTACACCGAATCCACAGATAACACTAGCAAAGAGTGGCACTGTCACTAGAATTATAACAGTTGATTTTGTATATGTTTTCATGTTTCTGTCTGTAGCGAACGGTTACTTCGAAATTTTTTTCTTTTAAATATCTTGAAAACGATGCACCATCCGTTCCCCGTCTTTCTCTCCACTACCTGTGGATGGTTCTTTCAGATTTATATACTCTGGCTTTGCATAATTTAGGTAATTATGGAGCAAGGCAGGTATTAGCCGCCTGATTTTGTGCGAAACGGATACGACGGCTGGATGGCGTTCGAGCTGATTGAATCTATATTTCAGCCGTCATTCTATCACACAAGCATAATACGAGACTCATTAGTGGTAATTAACACGTTCCCAATGGGTCAAAGATCCCAAAGTGAGCACAAGTGGGAGTATCTCTCCGGAAGGGGCAGGGCAAAGGGCGGGGTTTTGGCTGATTGGCAAGAATATTCCAACCAATGAAAGAAGTGTTTTTGCAAACAGTGATATTTCACTATCGGTAAGTTTATTTTCAAAACGAATAATGATCAAAGGGGATATTTTCTGTGAAAATAGAATAAAAAGATTATTTTCTCTGATGTAACCTGCCGGCGTCTGAAAAAAGGTCGTTGATTTCCCAAGAGAACCTCAATGGGTTTCAGTCAATTTTCCTGATATCATTATGTTGTTAATTGACACTTGCAGGCCGCCAACACCCCTTTGATATAAACAATATTTTCCCAACTGTTCGTGCAACTCATTGTTCATTTTAATAGAAAGTCCAGCGATGGACACAGACATGCCTTAATTACCAAGAAATAAAAGCCAACGTAATTCTTTTAATAACCAGGACCCACCCTAGCCAAAAATAGATAAAAAAATACCCCATTTCTTAAAATATATGGGTTTGACCCACAATTAAAAGGTTTCTTGCGTGTCAAATCGTCACACCCACAATGCATAGCTAGAACGTGGGTGAAACTCACATTTTTGGCAAGCAATGAATTTAACATAATTGAAAACAACATGGAGTCCAGATAACGCAATGACGTCGGACGACTGGTCGAGTCAATTACACGCAAAGCATACATGTATAGTCATAGCGAAATGACCGTATCATCCATTATTAATAGTATACACTATGATTGCTTATGACGAAAACCAACCCACCTGTGTAAAAAATGAATTTTACCAAAGAGGCTTTAATCAGCAAACATAGGTGGGGAAGGGATGTGCGTCCATTCCGTCTCCAAAAAATGCAATATAGTTATGTTCTTTGCGTTATAAAGTCCATACAAGATGCGGCATGGTCACCGTTAACCTTCTCTGAAGCCCATATGGCCCCTTTTTGCGACATAATAATCTATTTATTCAGATATAAACTCTTAAGCAAAATGTTTTAGTGAAATCCACAGTTCACATAGGGCTCGATATCAACAAAGTTATAGGCCTACTCTTGTATTACGTGGGATAAAAAAACAGCGTTCATTTTTCGAAATTCAAAACAGGCAGATATTTCAGAGAAATGAAACGTGGCCTCGGCGATTTTCAAAAACGACAGTCGAATCCCTTTAAGGATACAAAGAAGATCACATTTCATTTGCTAACTGATTACTTTAACTCGATTGCTGAATAATTGAATATCAAGACTAGTTCGAATCCCCAGAGGGCGCTCCGATTCGGGATGATATCACGAATTAGAGACATTTTGGAAAACAAAAGACAGCTTTATTGCTCTTTGATTTTTTGCTAAATGGCTCAAATTACTCAAGGTTATTGGTTCGAATATTTGCTTTCAGATAACGGACAACGAATGCTTTGATTTATACATGACATTTAAGGCACCGAAATTATTTCAACGTTATTCGATTTTCTGGACATAATCTGGTCTGATACCATTTTAGAAATTCTCTAGTTAAAGCTATCTTGTCATCTATCTTTATGTTGTACTCGTTCAGATTTGAAAATAATGCACCTACCCCTGTCCCTCTCTCTCTTTTAATGTTCTAAGCTTCACCATTAAAAGACTGAATTGGCAGTTTGTTTTTCAATGCTTACCCGTTTACAAAGCCTTTTTTTCTTGCTTCTCTTGAGATGCTACCTCTGCAGTCTCATAGAAGATAAGTAGGCGTAGGAAGAAAATTAAACCAATGATAATTGACATCAAAACAGGGTTCAACGGAAAAGATCCGTGCAGTATGTTGTACATATATGCTTTTTTGCGATTATCTTTATCAAGAATATTTTCTTTTCATTTTTTTAACTGCTTTGGATGTGTATAAGATATCGTGGGGATAGCAATTTGATTAAACTGCCATAGATTGGCAGCGAACTAACTATGGAATAGCATGATATTGCGTGAGAATGCTGTCAGATGGTCATGAAATCAAATCATTGGAAAATAATCACGGAATAAGTGCACAACTTTCTGTGGGAGATCCCTTCAAGCTTCTAAATCACGCCCACTGGTCGGTCGAAAAAAAGTAAGGTTAAAATTAAAATTTTGAGGTCGATATATGAAGGCTTTTTAAAAAATTGATTTTGGTGCTGAGATTTCATTTGAAAACAAAATGAAAAACGAAACACACTATGTCGATAAATAGGCAAACAATGAAAGTTATGGAAAAAACAAAATAAATTAAAGCAAAATTCCACAGAGACATGTTCATTTACTAGAACATGTACCTACAGGACACACACACACACACACACACACACACACACACACGAATATATATAAAAGCTCCCCCGAGTGTATTAGGGTCCTATTAACTTTGAATTTATTAATTGTGAGAGTTAACTGATCAAGAGTCCATTATCCGGAATCTGGTTGAAGTAAATATGTATTCTTACATTGTTTGTCTATTACTTGACTAACAATGCAAAAACAGCTGTGAAATGAAAGCATGGAAGACGATGTTGACGCTGAGCCCTTCTCACAAGATATTTCGTTGGATATTGACGATTCACTTGACCAATGACATATGACGTAACATAGTCCAAAGGAAATAGTTATCACATGCTAAATCCCACGTGCTTATTCATTTTTTGTTCTTTTTAGGTACCGGTGCAAGTAAGCGTTTACACGAATTCTAACGCAAACGAGCATGAATCACAGTGACATGTTTTCGATTTAGACGCAAAATGTGCAAACAATGATAGCACAAAATCTATTTATGTGAAGAGTATCTTACCATGTAGATTGTGTAGATTGCCTGTTAAGTGTGCCTACCGCACGAGATTTATTACCTTCACGTCAGATATATTTCCCCGATGTAAAAGAAACATTTCGCTCCGTTTGATATGTTTTCTAGTAGTTTTGAATGTTTTGACTGAAGATAATCTCAAGATAGCATCACGTCCATTAAACGTTACTGATGCTTGCGTATCATTTTACTTAACGCCAACATGACTGGGTTTCCTCGTGTTTAACACAAGTGAAGTGGAAATTATCACAAGCCGATCTAAGACAAGATAAAACATCTCATTTTTTTAATGTTTTATAATTTTATTGAAAAAAAACAGTAAACCGTTTATCATATGATGAATGCAAATGATTTCAATCATACTAGTGTTAGTTGAGCCTAAATTATGCAGCATCAATATAAATATAATGTCAACACAAAACCTTGTCGAAGTGTTACCTCAGTATGAGAGCTGTTTTAAAGCAGTAAACAAATTAGGGTGATTCTTAAAGACATCATTAAGTGAAAAAACAACGATGGAAATATGACAGAACAAATATTTATGCATGATGACCAAAATATAATTAATATAAATGTTTCCTATATTTTGCGTGCATGCAACATGCTATAACACGGTGTATCATGATTCTTGGAGATACAGATTTATACGTGCTTCACGAATCGAGATAAAAAGACAACAGTCACCCATCGAAAAAACGTTTCAAATTTTTTTCTTACTCAGTTTTGCAAAAGTGGCAAGGAAGACCCTTAACGTTATCAATATACAATGATGCTCATGCTCATGAATAAAGTAGCACCTTTAATTTTTCAAAACATTTTAGTATCGTGGTCATAAATACAATGACTATGTTACAGTGTGATTTTCTTTTATATTTCATAGATATCTTATTAAATTGGATATTTATTGGACCAGGTACACAACACAATCCATGTACTTGTATTGTTTTAATAATGCGAATGGCTTTATTCAGAAAATAGTATCTAAATGTGCAAAACCGTGTGGCTAAAAAGTATACTCACACAGCAAAAAAGTACCTCCTGGTTAAAACGCCTAATTACCAAAAATAAAATTTAGCATAATATTTTGAATGGATTCTCATTAAAGATGAACGTGCCCAATAAAAAGGTAACTAATTATGGGGAGATCTAAAACGGCTGTAGACTACCTTCTCTGGCTTTGGACCAGAGCTTCACATCTTGCAACTTGTCACCAGTAGTAACGCTTGTATTGGGAACCTGTTCCACTTGTCTGTTATTGCCTTCTGGAACCGTCTGAGGTTTTGCACTGGAGGTTGCCTTTTGTTCACTGCTCTACCAATCATATCAGAAGCATATTTAATCAGACTGAGAGCTAGCGAATATGCAGGTTAATCATATGGGGGATACCACGCTGATGCAGCGCGTCTAGCACGAAGCGTGCTTTCTGGATGGGCGCATTGCCCTGCATCAAGCTGGTGTTCCGTTCAGAGTTTACTTTAATGTGTCGTCCTAGATCAATCAGGATTTCGTCGCAGTGTCACTTTGCAGTGAGACTCCCTTGAATAAATATTTCCAAGATGTCTTGTTGACATAGAGTAATTCTGATGAAAAAGTTTGACCAGACGCCTGTTGCATTAATCAATTCGGTACTACCTGGCAATCTGCTTCACAGTCAATCAGGTTTGATAGCTCCCTATTACTTTCTATCTCACGCCATCTACAAATTGTCTTCGTGTTATTTTTGAAAAAAATACTGAAGTCGTCCAAGACGTAGGCTTTATATTGCAACCCAAACTGTGTTGTCTCTAAGTGGTATCCCCCTTGAATATTGTACTCCCTTTGCCAGTGAATGGTACATGTAGTTACACATGTCACGGCCGAACGATATAAGTTAACAACAATATGCCATTTTGCAGCTAGATGACTAGATGTTGACTTCTTTTGTTTACTGAAGGGCATGCTCTCCAGAAAAATAAAATGCTGGAGAGTAAGCTCAACAGTAAACAAAAAAGTCAACACATAGTCATCTAGCTGCAAAAGGACTATTAAAAGGTGTGAACAGCTACTGTGCATTTTGCTTTTATTAAGGGTTTCATTTTTGAGAATATTGAAAACAAAAAAAAAATATAGCTTAACTTGCATACAAACACACACACACACAGAGAGAGAGAGAGAGAGAGAGAGAGAGAGAGAGAGAGAGAGAGAGAGAGAGGGAATAAAGAGAGAGGCCAAGAAAATCTCTCTTCTTATCTCGCAAAGTATAAGCATCTGTATATGAGAGATTATAGAAAGCAAAAAAGATTTAATACAGGCATATCAGAACCTGAAACCTTAGATATCCCTTTAATCCCCTGGCGACCTTATAATGAGTTTTCTGTTTACGGTCATTGGTTCACAGTGGAAGTATTCTTAACTGAACTATCAATTCACGCAAGGGTCTTGGCCGGTAGTTCATATAATAGTTATACATTTCACAACATTCCAACTACCCCTACTTCGTTGTATCTCTTTCGTAGTGTTTTGTCAAGTAATGTTTAACTTATGAAATTTCTTTGTCTTAGACCCTCAATTAGGTTTTATCTTATACAAACCACCTGCTTGATATCATAACTGCCATTCATCGCACATCGACAAGGTAGAATGTCCCTCTGGATGATTGCTAATGTCCCCTAAACAATAACACATCTGTTGCCATTATTAAAACATTACACTAATACTTTAGAGTATATAGAATATGTTGTTACATCACGCTCTATTCTAATTAAATATGTCAAAGGAAAAATGCCAGGAACCTTTTAACAGATGTTTGTTAAGTATTTTAGTTTTGTTTTTCGTGAAATCACGTTTTAATTAGATTAAAGTTGTATGAAAACCGTAGTCAAGACACTCCCAGAGGGTATTTTGCTTTTGAAAAGGTGACAAGTCAATACATAATGAAAATGTGTTAAACATTAATTGTACATTTTGTTTCCCAATCGAGTTAATGGTTCCTACCGCGCTTTTTTCATATTGAACTAATTGAACCGTGATGCCGTGATTCATCGCCACTGAACTCAGGGAATTGCTTATAACTGACGACTGGCGTACTCCTTTACATCAAATTAGCGATACCAGCATACTAAGTCCAAAATCTAGAAAAAGAAGAGAATTAAACAATCAATAACTTCCTCAAAATCTCATTCGGGCACATCTGGTGTTTTTCAATTGCAAAGACATCTGAACATCTTGCTCGTCTAACATTTAGATACCATTCCACGGAGCTCAATTTTAAGTTTCCCTTAAGAGGACTGTTAACTCCTTTAAGTAAGACTCAGAGGATACGTCTTTCAATTTCAGTTTAATTTTTCCTGGAAGGTATTGTCTGCGCCATTTATCTCGTTGTAATACTTGCGGGAGCATGTCTGTGAGATCCATTGCCTTAATCCTCGTTTTTCGATTTAGATATTTACAAACCTTAATACTTTAAGTTTCTTGTAACTTTTGTCCTTATTTTCAGCCATTTGTGATCAGCGCCAAAGGCTGCAACCTCTAACGTTTAATCATCGTACATGAAATGCTTCTTCATACCGTCTAGAGGGCCCTTAACATGTTATGAGCATTTCTAACTTGACGTGATTGTTTTGAAAACAAAATCTACCTTATTACTGAAGATGGTAAAAATTTGGACAATCATAAGTTAAAACATTACACTAATACTTTAGAGTTATATAGAATATGTTGAAGATGGCAAAAATTCCTTTGGACAATCATAAATATTTGGTTTAGTAATCCGAAGGGACGGTGAACAAACATGAAATAACACAAATACACGATATCTACCGATAGTGTAAAGGATACACTACAGCAATAAATCTGATCTATGCAACACATAACCGAACCAACCATGATACTCTAAATAAAAATAAGTGAAACAGAGGGGGAAATACTTTTATCTTAGATTTCAGTAAAGTTCCCTGACAGATAAAGTTCGACTTCTTGGTTGAAACACGTCTAAACAGTGTCACTGAAAATCTTTTTAAAAACTTGTGCATGTAGAGACTTATATAGAATTCACTGTGGCAATCCGTTTCCATCCAAATAGAGCATTGCCAATGAATTTAAATTTTTTAACAAATTATCGGTTAAAGAATTCATTATTATGGTAAAAATAACATATCTTTATTTACTTCGATTAGGGTACATACGTTTTCAGTAAAGAAAAGAATGATGATTATAAAGTGACGAGGGCGGTTGTGGTAAAAACACTCTAAAATAAACAAAAGAAAAAGAAATAAAGTAGAAAATGGACTGAGCGAACAAACAGCACAACTGATATACACCTCTACCTTCAGTTCTTCTTCGTTATTGTTTAAAAAATATGTGCCTTATTCTTTCCGGCGGTTATCTGTGACGCTTTAAGCTTTCATCAGTAAGCGTATTGCTTGTCGCTTTTTTTAAAAAAATCTCATCTAATGCAATTAGCACATCTCCACTGTACAAAGCCATGGTGAATCGGAGCAATTGTGCTGCTATTTTAAACGGCATTCAGCTTGATGTCAACTGTATCATAATGCAAAAGTCATGTAAGGTATCAACAAGAAAAATGATTTTAATATTTAATAAGATTGGCGGCGTCGTTTTTCTGTACGTTTGGTGCACTACCACGCACTCCCCTATATATGTATTAATTCTTAGAATACCAGGTTTGATATTTGCATGTGTGCATGCCGTTTGTGTTCCCGACAGGTGGGACATAGATGTAAAAGAGGAAACCATAATTTGCTGAATGTATTTCGAACATTAATATTTTATGTTGCTAGGTTAGATGTGTTATTAGTCCTTAAGTACTTGCACTAAGCAACTAACAACTTAAATAATTCCACCCGCACCGAAAAACATTAATTACACCTTAGTTTCCATAAATGTTTATTTATGCAATCTAATTTATGTCGATACATATAATTCCAATTTCTTTCATCCTTATAGCTTGTAACTTATATTATAATGATAATGTATACATAAAGGTCTGGTATTGCAAGACTTTATTACCCTTAGCTTACTTGCGAAGGAACATTTGGCTAAGAGAATTTGAATCCCAATTCTATAAAAACAGTTTCTGTGGACATGTTAAGAGTGCCCTGTATTCTGTGCCCTTAACTTCGAAGAAACACAAAGCTAAACAAGCAACAAGGTATCCTATATAGGAAACCATATGAGATATACATGTAAAAATTAAGTTTTTACAAGAGACAAGTGCATGACCTATGCTTTAAATCCGTTGTAAATCGTCGATGGGCAAACGTGCTCAGATGGATATCGCCGATTTCTTGTCCCAGTCTGAATCAGAACCAGAATTATCCGGCGTTTCTGGTGACATTACCATCTCATCAACAACTGACAATGATAGTATCGACGCCTTCCTGTTGGAGTTGGTTTCAAAATGTGAGCTCGTTTCACTGCCAGAACTTTCCTCCTCTAATTCACTCGGCAGGTCTTCAGACGTCATGCCATGACTAGAAATGCTGGTTTGGTACTCGTCGCTGGTGTACCCGTCAATGGTACTGGCGGCGGGGACAGGAGTGCAAATATCTATACCGCTGGAACTACTGCGACGGCGAGCAACAGCCTTGATTTTGCGACCGCCAACAGTCCTGGCCTGCTGCTTGACGTTCTCTGTAGACACCATTGGTTTCCTTTCAGTTTCCTCTTGGCTGTTGGTCAACCTGGCAATACGTTTGGCTGTATCCTTTCGCGCCTTTTTCCTCACCTGATCCGTAGACACATTGGATCTATGCGATCTGTCCGGAACCGTAACATCCAGATAGTCCATGCGTTTGGGAGGACCACGGCGAGTTCTCTTCCTTACGTGGTCAATGCTGGACACGGGGCTTTGTGGAATTTGCTTCTTGTCATTCACATTTAGAACGGGGAGTTCTAAATATTCCGTCTGGTCTTGCTTGTCTGGCTTGTGTTTGCTTTTCCTCTGCTTCGTTGCAGGCGCTGCGGGTGAGAGCACTCCCTGAAGTGAAGACCTTTTAGCAGCTTTTGGTGCAAGCTGGACATCTTCGTACAAACACCCGGAGCGTGTTGTGGCCTTTCCAGCATCCTTTTCGCATGGGAGTACACCAGATCCGATTTGAATCCCTTTATCTTTGTGTCGAATTCTTGAATAAAGATTTGCAACGGAGTCGATCTCAAACTCTGCCCTACCGATAATGATGATGTTATCGTCGTAGGTAATATCTGGATCCAGATTGACTTGGACAGCTTTGCTCAGGATAGACGCAACAGGATTACTATCATTGGATACGTTCTCTACAATGACTAGGGCTTGGTTGATGGTCCCCGTCGTGTGTGACATAGAAATGAAGCCATTCCCAAACTGCGTGCTTTCGTCAGCGTTCGTTACTAGTCTTGTTTTATCACAATTTTCTTCAGTGACTCCACTTGACGAAGTGACGACAACATCAATGGTTGCCGATGCGTTTCCGTTTGTTTGAGTCTCTTCGTTCTTCATTCTCTTTCTAAAGAAATAATTAATGAGAAATAAATAATAAGAAACAATTAGCAATAGTATTTACTCTTTATATTGAAAAATACCAACCCCATACAATTACAGAGACGAGACGGAATGTGTCACTCAATCAATTATTAAAAATACATAACGTTTGAAACAAACGACATTTTATTTTGCAGTTGTATATAAAGTATACTCAGGGTCACTTCTGATATCTTTATTGGAACATTTTACAAATATTTCAAAGTTTTGTAACTTCGTTTGCTAGATTGGTGAAAAAAGACGAATTCCTTGTAAACACGGTGTCGAGTGAGAAGATACGGAAACCAGAAGATTATACCAATGGTTATATTAAAAACAAGGCANAAAATGAATCTATGTAGTGGCAGTGCCACACTATTCATGCTTATATACGTACCTTCGGCACCAGAAGAGAAGACCAAGGATTAGAAGGATAAGCATCAAACCGACTATTGCCACACATACTATGATCCAACCTGATATAAAGTAACAACGGAAAATGTAGATGCCCTGTTCTTTTTCGGTACAAAATGAAAGTTTCAAGTGTCAAAACAAGTTAGGCAATTAGACATTGGAGAAACTAAGAATTTGCGTACATTTATCTTTAGAGTAGGGGGTAATAACTGTCAAGCATGTCTGTATATACAATCGACTAAAAAGTTATGTACATGTATGGTCTAGTCAAACTCTCACCCAACAATGTAAACCCCTTTTCCTCTTCTACAATTGCACCAACCGTTGCTGAAAAATATAGGTTCAAAATTGTTCAACATTTAGACGTTATTTACGTTATCTAACATAACTTTATGCCCTGTATTGTCCAAGATCAAAATTCAATTTACGTTTATATTAAAGGACTGAGAGGGAGGGTTAATTACCATTAGTTGTTGTTGAAAATCTCGTGGATGGTGTAAAGACAACTGTTTCAGAAATATTGAAAAGAACTCTCGTAGTACTAGCAGTTGTTACTGATCCTTCACTGGCATTTTCTCCTTTTTCGGGATGATAACCTGTTGTTTGCTTGAAAGGCCCGATTGGCGTAGGCAGGGTTGTTTCAGAAGACGTGGGCTTAAACGTCGATGGGCTTGTTGTTCGAGTTGGTGATGTGGTTGATGACGCTGTTGTGGTCGTAACTGTGGCCTTAGAAGTAAAAGCAGGTGTTCGTGTCAAGGGTGTTGTCGTGGTGGAGATACTCGATGTTGTCACGCGTGTTGTCGTTGCTGAAGTAGTCATGGTCGTCGTCGACAAAGTGGTTGTCGGAGGAAAGGATGGTTTTGTGGGGGTAGTTGTGGTTGTCGATGTTCTAGTGGAACTTGGCGTGGAAACAGTTGTTGTCGTAGGAACTTTTTTAGACAAAAGAGTAGTGATCATCTTTTTAGTGGTAGTGGTGGTGGTGGTGGTGGTTGTGCTTTTTCCATTGTTATCGGGAATAGGGAAGTTATCACACTCGACGTTCACTGAACCAGACCCCGAAGCTAGCAAAAGAATAAAACACTACAGAAAGAGGAGGGAAGAAAGTAGTACAAAAAGGGTATTAAACAGATAAATATTTTAATAGAAAGATATACGTATTAATAGAATATTAATAATACAAATAAATCGATAAATATATCAAAGAAATAACGAAAACATATGGTATATAACAGTTTGGCAAACATCAAACGATTAAAACAGCAAGTCCATATAAAAGTGACATCAAACCTGTATCCTGTTATGTTCAAGACCCTAAATTTTATGCTTACTTTATTTCATGGATTCAGGATATTGATGTTTCGTCCGTTCTTCGAAAAGTACTGGCATGTGACACAGTAAACTTACCTTTAAAGTACAACCAGTATCCAGAATGGTGCTCTTTATCGTCGGTGTGGAATTCCAAGTCAAACGTGGGGGCTTCTATGACATCTGTTGAAAAGCCGCACTTTTTCTTATTATTTATCTTTAGCCAATCGGTACAGGGGTCTTGGAAATGTATGGAGAGGAACAATATTTGAATGTGTATGTTTTCCCCATTGGTGGACGTCAGTCTGCACTGGCAGTTTATATTGGGTTTGTACTTATTCGGAAAATTTGGACTCATTAAATAACCGGCCTTTGTCTTGAAAGAGTGGGCTCCGCACATTACAGTAATGTAGCTATCTGTAATAAAAAAAACGTTATGGATTTAGTCCCACTTGTGTCTGACTGGTGGTTGGTTTTGCTGCTGACTGACCTTTGGTGCCATTACCACATTACCACCATGTATATTTTGATGGTTGGACAGAGACCAATTGAATATACTCCGGGCCTTACAGGAACAAAAGGTTGTACGACAAGGACTATGTGTTCTGACCTAAATAATCTAACGCCAAAATTTTAATCAAATCTATGAACATCCTGGCAGAATACCACAAATTGTTATTTCAATTCTAGCCCCACTCCGCCAGAAATGTTTTGGTGCCATATTCACGGGGTTGGTTGGCTTATAGTTAGTCAACATTTCATTTAATACCTACAAACAATCAAGCTCACATACGGCAAGGTGTTGTTTTGTTTTTTCTTTTTTTAAAAAAAATCAAAATTCAAAGCGGAAGCACACAAATTTTGTACTGTTAATATGCAAAATAAACATTCTTGAACAGTACCCTAAACAAGATATAGGCCGGTCGATCGGAAATGAATGGTCCATAACAAAGACATGCCATTCCGCACTATCCTCAATTCATCACTTTTCAAAAGCGGTTAACAACAGATTTTATAGTTCCTACCTGGGACGCACTGATACTCGATTTGATGATAGTTGGTAAACAGCTCATTGCCACAGGGATGCCTCTCGGCTTGGTAAAAACTGCATATGCGTTCCCCAACACAGTACCGTTGTAACAAGCTATTGGATCGAGGCGTGACAACTGTACAGTCGCCTTCATCAAATTCACAGCCTTTTTTCTTTTTCGATTTTTTGGTAGAAGCGCCAAAGAAATCCCGAATTGGTCGTATTTTGTGTCCTGCGCCGCAGTCAAAATTGAAGATATCTCCATGACAGGCCGTTATCATATAGATTGGAAGATCGGGAAGATTTCTGTGAATGTGATTACTGCCTGAAATATTTTGTTTTGAAAAATGTTTCACAAGTTTTATTTTCTATATAACAATTTTCCAGTCTCCTTACATAGGTCCAGAAGCCTAAAAATACAGTTGTGTTAACGTTCAATATCATCGAAACTAAAAACGTAATTACTACATATGCCCTTTACCATCTTTGAATAAAAAACCTATAACAAAATATCAATATGTATTAAACTCACCATTTACTCTCAAAAAAATAATCACCGCAACACCGGACATCATCACCAAGAACCTGAACCGCGATGACTGCATTGTTGTCTGGTTTCAGCACTTATAGAATGTATGTTTCCTTGCAGAAATCCGGCCGCACAACAATATGTAAAAATACAAGATCAAATTAAACCTTTACTAAATCGGTTAGCATTTCCTGTGGTTCCATGACTATGCCTATGTGGAGTCAATATGAGTCCGTGTCGCGCCAGATCCTCCCGTATGAATCAACTGTGCCTTTTAGCGTTCTCTGCGACCATCTACGGGCATGCCTCGCGGGCACGTGCGTGCCGACAACTGTCACTGTAGTATATACATCTATCTACCCGCCATACGCGGGCACAAACTCTTTCTTATGGAATGACAATTGGATTAATCTTTTGGACAAGATATGCCAGCCGATTACATAAGGGAGCGTGAAGTGTACGCAGAAAGTGAGAGAAACTACCACAAAAAGACAAAAATCAAATCATGACATTTATTGGACTAAATAGACAGCGGCGTCGATCGTACATACATTTTGGAACTAACGCTGGTAAAAGAGGCTTGCTGTTGTAACGAGCTATCCGGTGTTCATTTTCCTCAATAAAATTGTGATCAAAGGTAGAAGGTATTAAACTTGCAAGAAATAGCAATGTTTTCATCCATGTTGAACCAATGAGACTCATACTAACATTTTACCGAATATTCAGTATCGTATGCATCAGCTACTTAATTAGTACATAACATACTTTATTTGAAGGGGACGGTCATTAATTTGCTCAAAGGTACATTGTTCCTTCATTACGTTGGGTGAATATTAAATAAAAAGTACCGTTAGTTAGTGCGGCCATATAAATGACAAACCCACGGATCCATTCCACTGCTTTATTACCAATGAAAAAATGACATTTAATTACAGTGCACTGAGTCATTTTGTACTACAATTAAGACGTGAGAAAAAAGGAGTAAACTTACTGCAATATGTGAAAGTTACAGTGAGTAGTACAGCACGTAGCATAACATAACCGTATTTGAAATGGGAAGGAGAGGTCTTTATGCCACTTGTATGCCACAAATAGATGTAACTTATATCCTGGTCTACTACAAGGCGCAATTGCACTGTTTCTTGCATTTCAGTAAGTTGGAACCTATGTTGAGGGTACCCTCCTCTTCCAATGCAGGGTCACTGCAGTTCCAAACATTAATGTGTGTAAAAAATCATGGCCGCCTCATATTAATTAAATCCCCACACTGACTTCAGCTTTTCCATCGTTACTATACCTTGTATTTTTTTATTATCTTCGGTGTACAAACCGTACTTGACGTCTACCTCCCCAATATCGCCAACATAGCGAGGGTCAAAGTCTAAATGCGCCGCCTGCCATCTGAGAAAAAAACATCAATTAGTATAATACGCCCTTTTCATCAACATATTAAAGAATGGAATACACTGAGCATCAGCAGTGACTTTCTTTCTATAAAGACTTTCCATGCCCAAATTTTTCGTAACTTCAGGGCCTAAATAACGCTGGGGTTTAAGTTGAAAGATTTTACATATTTATTAGGCATTATAAAGCCATTTCTGAGCAAAGGATCACCGTTATAGACAGTGTCTGGGACAATGGAAATATATTATATGGCACTAAAACAACTTCAGATTTGTCATTCACGGCAACCTTAAGTCACAGTTTGTATCTTTATAACATTGTCAACCCAATATTTTGCTTTTTGAAATCAGGATCCCTTGCAAGTTAAAAACTGCGCATTTAAGTTAAAACTTTACAAACCTCGTATCGCAGCTTATCCTGGCAAAATGCGTTGTGTTGACAGTGGACATGTGAACTGTCCTGGAAAACAACAGATGCAAACATATTTTATCGGTTTATTTGTTAGTTTCATTCATGTTCAATATTTCTGTGTTTCAGAGATGCTGCCAATGGCATACGACGCAAAAGTCGCCTATGAAATATATAATTTGTTTACTTTCGTGCAGTTGTTACGGTCAGTAATAGTTTATTTTACAAGACATCCCTGCGTTAAATGCCCAATCACGTGGTACCCCATACCTCAAGCCAAATATGAGGACATCTCCGGCTTTGAAGTCTGCCGTTTTCCACTGGCCGCCAAATTTACTTGTGATTTCATAAGGATCATTGGTAAACCATCCAGTACCTAAAATACAGAAAGGCAATTATTTCTATGAATAGATTTAAAGACAGCTAGGTTTGTTTATAAGTGTTCACGTTTTTTTAATCGCCATTTCACAAATAAGCATTATGATACCAAAAATGTTACATGAACGTTCTTAATCAAAGGACAATAAGGTAGTGTCAACTTGAATAGTAAAAAAAAACTTTACAAATGAATAACAACAACAACAATAATAGTAATGATAACAACTCACCAACAAGGTTAGCCTTTTCGATATCACAAGAGCCATACGTTTCTTGGAAATGTTTGAATCTGCAATGGTGAAAAAAGTTTTTTTCCAAAATGTAGGCCAACTAACTACAAAAAAGATATTAAGATAGATTTAAAAAAGAACATGCAAATATTCAAAGGCGTCAGTTCAAAGAAATATACTTTCTGTGTCTCACCCTGGTAATCTATGGGACCCCTCACAGACACACAGTGTCCCCATCTCTAAGGTGACGTCACCAATGGGGGTCCACATGGTGTACAACTGGTGGGTGCCACGTGACATGTAAACGTAATCGGTGTGCACCCCTGTGTAACCCTCTCGATGGATTGCTCTATTAAGATAAAAAAAGAGGCCACGGGTTAAGCGTGAAAAGAAGTTTATATTATCTGTATTGATATCGATACCTCCCCTAACCCCATTGCTTATTTAGGCCTACTCATTTTCGATGAGTGCCTAAATTCATTACTGACATAGGTGTCTTCTTGTCTCCAAATTTAACGTTCACATCATCGACAGGTTTCATAACAGGTGTCCTAAAATTTCACTATTCATAGTTTCACGGCACTATTGTCGCAGTCTAGCAATTAATATCATAAACTAAACCCATAGAAGTCAGGTACCAAGTATATGTAGGGAATACCAATATGCACTAACCTCAGCCATTTAAAATCAAAGGTTTTCGGTTCTGCTCCAATTAATGTCTTAAAGAACTGAAAAGCTGATAAAATAGGAAATAACAGATGATGAAAATTACTATGAGATCCGATTAAAACTGACAATAATTTAGTGTGTTTTTTAATAGATATTCAAACACTTTTAAACCATCTGCTGTGTAAATTTTTACGTTTTAACTTGCGCTTACTGCTGCACTACTTTTATACCTGATAATACATGTAGGTACAACAATTGTTTTAAGCTTACGTCTCCTTCCTTCAATCACTTTTCGAACAGGGTCGCTGTGCGTAATGTTATTCTTTCCCTGTAAAAGGTTTAGCCCAATTAAAATGCATCCAATTCCATAATCATTTTTGGGGGATTTTTAAAAATTAAGTACATTTAATATCATTTTCTTATTCTTTTGGAAATATTAAAAAGTATCTAAAGCACCTATTAAATGTATTCTCATTTTTTTAATGAACATTTCAGCTTGCTTTGGTATTTTTATCAAAGATGGTTTGATTTATTACTGATGGTCATTTACGATATCCGTGTGTGACCAATATTATAAGATTTATATTCAGTGTTTTAACACTTATATTATGAACAAGGGTTTTGTGCCTTAACCCCACCCTCACCACCGTTTTTAAAACTTTATCACCTCCATAAACGGCACACATCCTTTTCCACAGCGCGGGTTGAGAACACCATCTTCTAAGGGGTACTCTGTAGACAGTTTGTCCTCGCCAAGATCTTTGATATACCGCAGAACTGCAAGCCTTGCATCTAATACCTCTTCTCGGGAATGGAGGCCTCGGATAAAGAGATACCTAAAAGATATACAAAACATAGGGGCCTACATTTTATCTTTTAAGTGTTTGCGGCAGTGCATCTACATGTAACGATTTCTACGATTCCATTACCTCGCTATAGCTACTATTAGGCGGCGATCAGCTCTATCATAAGCAAATGTATACCGTCACATACGTATCGGCCAGGATTTGGTGGACGGGGGTAGGTTCCCTTTGTATTCTTAACCTCAGGTGCGCAAAACGAAACAAACAAAGGAATCAAGTGTGGTTGTCAATATTAACACATTATACCTACCCCTGATTGTGAAACTCCTGTCTTAACAGCTCCACATCCCCCAGCAGGTGGTTGGAGTCTTTGAGCTCCTGGAGGTAGGGGGAGGGAAACTCTACCTCCCTAGTTCCTAGTTTGACTATCCTCGGTTTTGAGGCAGAACGCGCATCTGTCGCCATTACATTTACATGTAGTTATCTAGAACGCGTGCATATGAAGGTCACAGCTGGTGAGTCTGTGAAGGTAGTTTGTTTACTTTGATAGAGAGTCACACAGTGTCTTATGTACAATAATGTGCACGTAGATGCTTGATAAGATTTTGAGCGCCGCATTCTAAATCAGAGACGTATCCAATAAGAAATTTACCAGTCTTTTAATGTCCTTGCCAATAAGGCAGCACGACGACAGAAATTTAATTGAAGCACATCTTTATAGAAGTGACATGCAGACATATTTAATATTTAAGTATAGTGAGTTTTATTGCTAGAGGGACAATAGATGGTGGCATTTATCTTATTGACCACGATTAAAGTCGGGTGTATTTCCTGGCCGTGACAAAATGACATATTAAGCTGTACTGGGATCCCCGATGCAATTAACTTTCTTGGGTTGTCTCCCAGTCATGTTAATGTTACATCTCTTAATTCTATAACTCATCAACAAACTATCCTAAACATTCCCATTTGACAATCATTTACATAAGTCAAGTATTGAGCATTTGAAAGATTTGCATCAGAGGACCAGGAATCCAGGAATAGCCGATGAAATTGGTATAACATGTAATGACACACACACACACCAAACAAGGTCATTCCCATTAAATTCATTACAACTAGTCATATCGATTCGAAAATTGCCCTCAAGTAATTTTTTTTCTGGATTTCTTACAAAATAAGTATGTTACTATGGATACGTAGTACCCGGTACTTGCTAAAATAGCAACAGCCTTTTCACTTGGATCACATGGCATGTGATTAATTATTATTATTATTCATCAATGCATCAATTATTATCATTCACATTAGAATTATATATAAAAAAATAATTAACATGCTGAACAAACTGTAAAACCGCTCTTGTAGGTACTTGCGAATATTCTTAAATGATCCCGTGAATAATAAAGAACTACAACAAACATTCATATAAATATAACAAATAATAATAAATAAGTTTTCATATCAAAATGCTGTATGTTATACAATATTTAGCCATCCCCAGCAGCAGGTAAGGGTTCTTTGTTAAGTAGGCCCTCAGCCACCAGAAAGTCATAAATTTTCCTTGTTTTATTTACATCGATCTTTATCATTTGCCTCGCCTGGGCTAATTTGAGGCAGCCATGTTTTCTGCATTCATTAACCAGTAGAGTCTTAAAATCCAGGAATGCTTGAGGTACTAAACGTACTGATGCACACATCTGTAAACAATAAAGGGAAATTGTTATATGATTTGCACCAAAACACAATGATAACTCTTGGATCAATTTACAGAGAATGTCAAAGAATAATCTAACAATCTGAATTAAAATCGATAAGAGTACAAGGGTTTCTCTTCGTACAAATGCCATACCTCTTTTTCTCTTGGCAAAAGCTTGTCATATCCTGGCATACCAATGATATCCAGAGGTGGGGCACTTTTCCGTGCTGAAGAAATATTTAAAAAAACATTGTATTATTGAGGCTGGTAGATGAAAACTTTTTAAAATGTTCTTTTGGCTATATATGTTATGAGAAATGTTAATAAATGGACTACTTGTAGGGTTTTGGTTCTTTTGTTCTTTCTGCTCTCTCTAGTTCATTTCTAAATAGCCTGTACTTATGCCTCAAAGATATGTTTTATTGCCTAAACTATCTCATAATTTTCAATTTTAGAAAAGGGCAAAAATGTAAGGAAGGTACATGTAAGTGACCACTTGGTTTAAGCCTAGAGCAGTCTTCAAAATATTCTATTTTGGTGATGGTTATGAAACAGAAACGTGAGCTAACACTGGCCATACATTGATAAATTTGTGTAACTTCTCACATTATACCTTGACTTGAACAAATTTTCCAGCTCTATCGTCCCTGTGTTTTAGAGTCTACGATATTTTAGTTATTTGTGAAAAGCATGGTCTTCAGTCTATATCTGAATAACTTACATGCATTAGGTAAAGTGACAGGAGCCCCTCCCAAAGCAGCCTGCCTCTGCAACCACTGCTGAGTAGCCGACTCATCCTGCCAAACAAAAATGATTATTTATAACTTGTCTAAAATTAATATTCTACCTATATCATACAACATCTAGACTTTGTGTCCATATAATACTTTTTAGGGTAAAATGCAATAGGAAAGGCATACTACAACTTCTATGGCAATCATCTTTATGGCCAAACAAATTTCATTTTATTCTAACTAGCTTGACCTGTTACAAATTTTTTCGAGCTCTGACTTACTTTTAAATTGCTCAAAACATTAGTGAGTGCATTTCTCCTCTCTTTAGTCTGATCCTGAGATGTTTTGAGGTTTCTGTACAGCCTTGCTGATCTGAGCCGCGTGATGCCTGCATGCCTGTACTCCTGAAGTCTCTTGATCTCCTGACGTAACTCAAGTTCATCTGCAAAACACATTAAATTTTTTCTGCCTTTAACCTTTATTGAGTCATTTTTGTCATAATTTATTATACAGTGTCTACAGTGTAAGATTTCCTTCCTTGCTTCACTACATCCTGGCTATGGGCATAGCAATTAAAGAATGTAGGACATTTCTGAAAAATGTACTTACAATGGAGTCCTTCCAGGTATTTGTCCCATTCATATGGTGAACACACTTTTAACATACTCCTGAGCCCTTCTACCCAGCTGCGAATGGTTGCATCAAATCTTCTGCTCTGAGCTAGAAAGATACCAAAAAGTGTCACTGTACCATTTGATGATAATGCCTCCCTAAATGGAAAAACATCTTAAATGTTGAGAAAAATAAATAAACAAAAAGAGACAATGTATTTTTTGACAGTTTGCAGTATAATTTTGAATAGGGTGTAAGGTTTACCTTGAAGCTTTTGAAGATTGATAAGGCCATAGTTTCTCACTATTCTGAAATTAAAACACAATACCAAACAACGTAAATTACTGACAGAATGGAAAAAGTAAGATTTACAAAGATATCACTGAATTACATTAAAAATATTCATGTCCTTCAGTATAAGCATCAAAGTCAAACTATTTCTACCTAATTTATGGTGGACTGAATTTCACTATTTTATTTCACTATTTACTATTCTAGGGGCAGGAGGATACCATAAAAGCTTAAAAAATAAAAACACCTGTATTGTTGTAAAAAATTGCATATGCACTAACCTTTTTCTTCTCTGTCTTTCTTTCAAGCAATGCCAATAAATATCAAGGACTGAAATCTTCAATTCTAAAACACGTAACATGCAACATATCAATAAAAAAAATACTTCATGAATAGCAACACACTTTCTCTAAACAATCTAAAGTAGATTCCTATCTAGATTACAATACAAAAGCTTTGTATTAAAGAATTACAATAACCCATTCCAAGTTTCAAACAAACTTTCAAAAAACTTTATAAAGCTCCACTTGCCCTTGTCTAATTCCCCATCTGTCTCTGTGAACTCCAGTTCTCTCAGGTCTGTCTCAGCATAGTTGTTGTACTCGGTGGTAAAATCGCCCCTGGCAGCCAGGTACCCAGCCATCTCGGTGTACGACAGAGAGGCAACAGCAGGCCGAGGAGGGTCTTCACACACTACCATAATGCAAAGTGTATATGAGTAAATGAGTACTATCTGATCACAAGGTGTGCTAGTAGTTCAAAATCAAGAATTTAATTCAATTTTAATTTTGTATACTATTTTAGATGCCCCTGATATCAGAGGGTTGTGAATGAGCACTTAATTATTTTGACAATAGAAAGGGGGCATACATATTTATTAAATCTACATTGATGATAATTAAGTCTTAAATGCCAATGTTAATAGACAGAGAGACATAATTAATAGACTTACTTTTATATGTAACTGGTGCAGGGTGCATGCTTATCATAGGGTCCTCCAATTCTGTAGCATGAGAAATAAGAAGCAAACCTAATTATTTATTCTCGTATATTGAATAAACATTTAAAACAATAGTGAACGAATCTGTTAATAAAGGTCAAAATATTGAATAATCCCTTTACGTATACTAGAAAGCACAACATATATTCTACAATATACTCATGCCATGTTAGCCAAAATCAAGTGACATTGCAAATGTCTTACCTGGCAGTGGATATTTGGCATCACTGATATAGTATCTATAGTAATGGTGCTCACAGTCTTGTTTACTTTTGGTCTGCATTTGGTGGGATATGTCAGTCCTAGAATTAAAGAGTAGTGTTATAACTTACATGATAGACATGTTTTAATACTGATATTGATTTATTAGGCTCATTTTTCAATACAAACTGTTAAATAAATATATTCAGATGTTGTGTTGGAGAAATGCCTTGAATTAAATTTCTAAAAAATTAGTGTATTCCATTGTATCTGTTCAATGAGCATTAATTACTATTTTAATTTAATTTAATCTGCTTTCATTTAGACACCTGTTCTAGTTTATACTGACCAGTTTCCCACTCCACAGTCAGCTACAGCTTCCAGCAGTCTCATTTCCTCAGCAGCTGTCCAGGCCTTGTCAAACAGAGAGAAATCATGCTTCTGTAAAAAAGCAAAATAGATATTTTACAAAGAACAAACAATCATTAAAATTTTTTTAAATCAATTAAACAGTTGGATGTACCCCAAATCAAAGAATTCCAACATATAAAAAAATGCTTTGACCCCCAAAAAAATTTCTACATAAAATACCAGGGGTATAGAGGAGTTACAAGACTCAGAATGCCAAAAGGGTGAACAAAATACAGCACAAAGTGAACAATACTCACTATCACAATGTAGTTATGGTCACTTTTGTGCCTGTCCACTTCCAGTCCTCTGGCAAAGCAGTGGAGACAGGTTTGAACTGGGCATTCAGCACAGCGGATATACGGCTCCTGGAGGGTAATGGTGCACCCCGGGCACTGGGTATGGGTGTCCATTTCTTAATCTGAAACAAGACACTTCGTTGGTTTGTATCCAATAAAAGGCTTGCTCATAACCACGCTCGGCTGTCACCTTGATTGGATAGTAAACGATTGTCGTAAAATCGCTAAATGATATTAAAACCGGGTGCATAAACTTGAAAACCACCTACAACAACCTTGGACTACCACATTAATCCAATACAATGCAAACATAAACTATAACAAGTGGTTAAAGCCTTCAAACCGAATGTCGTAAAGTCCCCATAAACCTCCATAGAGACAATAAAATAGAAGAAGCTTGTGAAACAAGAAAAATCCAGTTCCAACATAATAATCGAAATAAAATACTGCTGGGCATCGGAGCGGCCTAAAACTTGGCACGCTTACCGCTAATACTGCAGGCTACATCATCCCGTCGCTCGTTTGTAAATTCCGTGCATGGCATACGCACAATCAAACCGTAAAAAACAAATTCTCGGGGTGTCGTTGGC